GATTCCTTCTTTTTGGATTGTTTGGAATCGTTTCAGAAGGAGTGGTGCCAGCTCCTCTTTGTATGTCTGGTAGAATTTGGCTGTGAACCCATCTTGAGCTGGGCTTTTTTTTGGTTGGTAGGCTCTTAATTGCTGCCTCAACTTCAGACCTTGTTATTGGTCTATTCAGGGTTTCAACATCTTCCTGGTTTAGGCTTGCGAGGATGCAAGTGTCCAGGAATTTATCCATTTCTTGGAGGTTTACTAGTTTATGTGCATAGAATTGTTGTAATAATCTCTGATGATGGTTTGTATTTCTGTGGACTCCGTGGTGATATCCCCTTTATCGTTTTTTATTGCATCTATGTGATTATTCTCTCTTTTCTTTTTTATTAATCTGGCTAGTGGTCTATTTTGTTGATCTTTTCGAAAAACCAGCTCCTGGATTTATTGATTTTTTTTTGAAGGGCTTTTTGTGTCTCTATCTCCTTCCGTTCTGCTCTGATCTTAGTTATTTCTTGTCTTCCGCTAGGTTTTGAGTTTTTTTGATCTTGCTCCCCTAGCTCTTTCAATTTTGATGATAAGATGTCAATTTTAGATTTCTCCTTGCTTCTCATGTGGGCATTTATTGCTACTATATTTTCCTCTAGACAGTGCTTTAAATGTGTCCCAGAGATTCTGCTATGTTGTGTCTTCATTCTCGTTCATTTAGAAGAACATCTTTATTTCTGCCCTCATTTCGTTGTTTATCCAGTCAACATTGAAGAGCCAGTTTTTCAGTTTCCATGTGGCTGTGCGGTTCTGAGTTAGTTTCTGAATTCTGAGTTCTAACTTGATTGCACGGTGGTGTGAGAGACTTGTTTATTATGATTTCCATTCTTACACATTTGCTGAGGAGTGATTTACTTCCAATTATGTGGTGAATTTTAAAGTTGGTGTGATGTGGTGCTGAGAAGAATGTGTATTCTGTGGATTTGGGGTAAAGAGTTCTGTAAATGTCTGTTAGTCTGAGTTCAAGTCCTGGATATCCTTGTGAATTTTCTGTCTTGTTGATCTGTCTAATATTGACAATGGGGTGTTAACGTGTCCCGCTATTATTGTGTGGGAGTCTAAGTCTCTTTGTAAGTCATTAAGAGCTCGCCTTATGTATCTGGGTGCTCCTGCATTGGGTGCATATATATTTAGGATTCTTAGCTCTTCTTGTTGCATTGATCCTTTTAACATTATGTAATGTCCTTGTTTGTCTCTTTTGATCTTTGTTGGTTTAAAGTCTATTTTATCAGAGACTATGATTGCAACTCCTGTTTTTTTTTCTCTCCATTTGCTTGGTAAATCTTCCTCCATCCCTTTATTTTGAGCCTTTGTGTATCCTTGCATGTGAGATGGGTTTCCGGGATACAGCACACCAATGGGTTTTGGCTTTTTATCCAATTTGCCAGTCTGTGTCTTTTGATTGGGGCATTTAGCCTATTTACATTTAGGGTTAATATTGGTATGTGTGAATTTGATCCTACCATTTTGATGCTAGCTGGCTGTTTTGCCTGTTAGTTGATGCAGTTTCTTCATTGTGTTGATGCTCTTTACCATTTAGTATGTTTTTGGAGTGGCTGGTACTGGTTGTTCCTTTCTGTGTGTAGTGCCTCTTTCAGGAGCTCTTGTAAAGCAGGCCTGGTGGTGATGAAATCTCTTGAGTACTTGCTTTTTCATAAAGGATTTTATTTTTCCTTCACTTATGAAACTTAGTTTGGCTGGATATGAAATTCTGGATTGAAAGTTCTTTTAAGTATGCTGAATATTGGTTCCCACTGTCTTCTGGCTTGTAGGGTTTCTGCTGAGAGATCCACTGTGAATCTGATGGGCTTCCCTTTGTTAGTAATCCGACCTTTCTCTCTGGCTGCCCTTAGCATTTTCTCCTTCATTTCAACCGTGGGGAATCTGATGATTATGTGCCTTGGGGTTGCTCTTCTTGAGGAATATCTTTGTGGTGGTCTCTCTATTTCCTGGACTTGAGTATTGACCCACCCACCTTGCTATGTTGGGGAATTTTTCCTGGATAATATCCTGAAGAGTATTTTCCAACTTGGATTCATTCTGTCTGTCACATTCAGGTACACCTATCAAACGTAGATTAGGTCTTTTCACATAGTTCCATATTTCTTGAAGGCTTTGTTCATTCATTTTTACCCTTTTTTCTCTAATCTTGCCTTCTCGTTTTATTTCATTGAGTTCATCTTTGACCTCTGATATCCTTTCTTCTGCTTGGTCAATTTGGCTGTTGAAACTTGTGTATGCTTTGCGAAGTTATTGTGTTGTATTATTCAACTCCATCAATTCACTTATATTCCTCTCTAAGTTTATGCTTGTTAGCATTTTGTCAAATCATTTTTCAAGGTTCTTAGTTTCTTTGCATTGGGTTAGAACGTGTTCTTTTAGCTCAGAGAAGTTTCTTATTATCCACCTTCTGAAGCCTGATTCTGTCAATTCATCACACTAATTTTCCATCCAGCCTTGTTCCCTTGCTGGTGAGGAGTTGTGATCCCTTAGAGGGGGATAGGCATTCTGGTTTTGGGTGTTTTCATCCTTTTTGTGCTGGTTTCTTCCCATCTTTGTGGATTTATCCACCTGTTGTCTTTGTAGTTGTTGATTTTCAGATTGGGTCTCTGAGTGGACGTCCAGTTTGTTGATGATGAAGTTATTTCTTTCTGTTTCTTAGTTTTCCTTCTAATAGTCTGGCCCCTCTGCTGTAGGACTGCTGATGTCCACTCCAGGCCCTGCTTGCCTGGGTATCACCTGCAGCAATTACAGCACAGTAAGGGTTGCTGCCAGTTTCTTCTTCTGCTATATTTGTCCCAGAAGGATATCTGCCAGATGTCATTCTGAGCTGTCCTTTGTGAGGTGACTCTTTGGATATATGGGGGTCAGGGAGCTGCTTGAGGAGACAGTCTGTCCTTTATAGGAGCTCAAGTGCTGAGCTGTGAGCTCCGTTGTTCATTCAGAGCTGCTGGGAAGGTACGTTTAAGTCTGCTGCAGCAGAACTCATAAACCCCCCTTCTTTTTTTTCCCCAGATGCTCTGTCCCTGGGAGTTAGGGCTTTATTTGTAAGTTTCTGTTGTGCTTCTGCTGTTTTTCATGCCTTCCCTGTCCACCAAAAAGGCAGCCTCGTCACTGTCTGTGTGCAGAGGCTTTGCTGAGCTGCTGTGGGCTCCACCCAGTTGCCATTTGAACTTTCCTTCAGTCCTGTTTATATGGGTGCAGTTAGAACTGCCTCGGCAATGGCGGCCCACTTTTATAATGGCGGACTTTCTCTGTAATGGCCGGCTGCCTCAGCAATGGCAAACTACCTCCGTAGTGGTGGACTGCCTCGGTAATGGCAGACGCCCCTTCCTTACAGCTCTCGGGTTGAGCTGTGCTTTCTGTGAAACTCTCAATCCAGAGCGTTTCCGATGGCTGTTTTGTTTGTGTGGGTGGGACCAGCCAAGCCTGATCACCTGGCTCCCTGCCTCAGAGCCCCCAGCCCCCCCCCCTTTTTTTTTTTGTTTTACGGTTGACTCTGTCTCCCAGGTATTCCAGTCGCCTGTTGAAAAGGTGCCAGGATCTGCATGATTTCCTGTGCAGCAACCCACTTCGCCAGCTGAAATAGCTGCGTTGAGATTCATGGTGCTTTTTTGTCTGGAAATCTCCTGGCCTGGCTCCCTGTTTCAGTCTTCTTTTTACTCAGTTGAATGGGCGACTCTGTCTCCCAGGAGCTCCAATCACCAGCTAAAACGGCACCCAGACCTGTGTATTATATATGGAGAACCGCTGCGCTATGGCGCTGGCAACACAGCTGCACCAGCCAAAACAGCTGCCCTGGCATCCCATGGGGCTCCTCCGCCTGGGAATGTCCTGGTTTGTGGGCAATAAAAATCCATCTGGAAATGCATCGGCCACTCACCCTCTGTGCTTTCGCTGGGAGCTGCAATCCTGAGCTGCTCCTAATCAGCCATCTTGGATCATCTGTAGCTTCTTAAATCAATGTCTGCTTTGGAGAATTCCTTCCTGGGTGGGTGGAGCCAGGGAGGGACCCTGTCAGTGTCAGTCTTACTGCAGAGGTCCGATTTGGGAAACAAGTACCTATTACCTCATATTCTTCCAGATTTTTTGTCATTTAGGTTTATTTTATCTTAGTTTGAGGCCTGGCTGCTTATGAAAATATCAGTAATAACTGATTATTGCCAGTCATTCTCCCCCCAACCTGCCTATGTTACAGGTTCATAACATTTTAATCACAGGCATAGAAGTGGGTGACTTCATAATCTCCCTGGTCTTCTCTATAGTTTTTGGATTGACAGAGGCCACTGGCGGAGTGGAGAGGTAGGGGAACACTGTTGGGCCAGCTTTGTCAAGCCATGTATCTTCTTACTAGTTGGCTACTAATAAAAAATATTTGTGATAATCATACAGAGTACTTAAGTAGATTTATTATTAATGGTAATAGATTTTAATCACTGACAAAAATCACTTTGGTTATTATTTATTCTAATATGCATTTTGCATAATACTGCCAGGTCCTTGTTTGCATGTTTGATATATAATCACAGTGTGTTAGAATTGTTTAAGTGCTTTCTGCAGGAAGCAGATGGAGATTTCTCCAACTCCCAGAGTGTTTCTGATTAGCAAAGTGCACATCAGATGGCATCTGTGAACCTCTCAGATAGGCTTTTTTTAAAGTTGGATTTGATAAGACTCTGTCACAGATACCTGTAATGAGAAATATCATCAGAGTTTTATTTCTAAATGATTTAAATTTGGTTTGCCAGGAGCTACAGTGCATATTCCTGGGGATTCATAGCTCTTGATGACTGTGATTGGAACTGCCTGACTGAACGTGGTTGGAAGTCTTTTTGCCCCAAGAGGACATGAATGACCCAGATTCTTTGTGGATGAGAGAGTTCCTTATCTTTGCATATGTTGGGTTTAGAAACAGATGGCCAAATGTGTCTGCCTTTAATTTTCTAATGCATTCTTTTACTTTTCCTCAGGTATCTCTCCTCTTTGTCACAACCTCTTTGCCTTGTATGATGAGAACACCAAGCTCTGGTATGCTCCAAATCACACCATCACTGTTGATGACAAGATGTCCCTCCGGCTCCACTACCGGATGAGGTATGAGAAGTACTCACCTGGTACCTGCCTGCCTCCCTCTGCACCGAGGGATGCTGGTCAGCCTGGGGCCCTGAGTCACTTAAGAAGCATTGCAGTCATTTTTGTGATTTGTAACTTTTGTGTTTGCTTGATATGAGAAAGGACTTCTTCAGTATCTGGAATACAATTCAAGATGAGTTTGATTACCTTCCTCTACCACATTTTAGAAAAGAAATCTTTATAATGCAGAGGATATTTTGAATAGAATTAGTGTCTTAATGGCAGAGTTTTTCAAATGAGTAGTCATAGTTAAGAATTTAGTTTAGTGGCTAGTGACCAAAATTTAAGAAACAAAGAGAAACGGGAGAACAGATAATATACCACCATATATACATAACCTAAGAATTTATTTTTTTAAACTTTGGAGATACGTAATATATATGTGTAATAGGTCATGATATAAAATATTTTTCTTACTAAAAGTTGCAGCTAAAAACCTTGAGAAACATTGCCTGAAGTGGTAACTAGAAATTCTAGGTTGGTCTTGCTCTCTAGGAGTGGATGTTTTGACTACTCCTTGAGGATTTTTGGCTATGGAGCTGTAATTTTTCTTCTGATGGGTACTTAACCTTTTCTCCCATATTGCACACTTTGCAAAATGTCACAGTATATCCCAAGGTGACAAATAGTACTTCAATAGCTGTAGTTTCCTGAGTTTGTAAATTTGTTCAGTAACTAAAACAGAAACTATGTTAGTTAGATACTTGTCAAGCAGAAGTTAACGTGTGTTTAACAGTGGAGATTATAAATAGGGCGGATCCTTTTTGAAAAGCAGGTTAACTTACATAGGTATTAAATCAGTAGGTTAGCTCAGATGCTGATAGAATGCAGGGATATGCTAGAAAAGCCCTCTGGAATCTCAGAGGCTCTTCACAGTATCATAGCTGCTATTTTTGGGACAATTTGGTAGAGTTGTCACCATTCCAGAATGACTGGGATGTTTTTCTCTGTTGACACTGAACCAGATCTAACTTTCTTTGATAATCATCCTACAGCTGACTTTTTCTCTTCTTTCTGTACTTAACCAGAGTCTCACTTAGAGAGGAAAGTTGTGTTCCCTGGAGATTTCAGGTCCCAACTGAGCCTCCTGGCTTTTGGCTTTGTTTTTCCAAGTGTAATTTTGCTGTTTGTGGCCTGGGGATGGATTGACTGTGTGATCAGTATTGAAATGAGTTGTTGCAGTTTGAAGTCTGGAAGGATATGCAACTGAGTTCTAATCCTTTCCTTCTGGGTTTCTGCACTCAGCTCAGAGTCTAGCATGGTAGCTTTTAGGACTTGGAAAAGAAAGACCTAAGTTATCTAATTCAACTCTCATTTTTTTTTTTTTCCAGTGGAAAAACTAATACTCAGAAAAGGGAAGAGAGTTAACCAAAATTACATCTAGTGAATCGTGTTATTAGCTTTACAATTCTCTTTGAGGCATTAGTCTTAGTTGATTGTATGACTGCCTGGCTATTAAAGGCTGTCTTTGCCTGTTCCCTGTTTCTGTTAGCTCCCTGGAAGTGCAAGGTTGCTTCACTTTTAGCACCTTGACTCTGTACCGGACAGTGTGCTTCAACAGGATATTGCTTTGTTACCACAGGCTCTTTGAACTTGGAAAAAAAAATACCACTCTAAACTAAAACCTTTGCATGATGACAAGCTACAAAAATTTTGAAACCTCATAATCTTACCACTAAAGAAGGTGTAAATGAAAATAAATGTTGGTGGTTGTTTCAGTGGAATACCAGCTCTACTTTAGGAAACATTCTCGTATTTCAATTATGGTTTTCTGTGTTTAGATAATGCTTTTGGTAGTTGTCGTTTTATAATGTATCTTAGTATAGACAATCATATTCTGTATTCCTTTTCAAAAAAAATATTTTCTTGCTTTTTTAACCGATTGAATTTCACTGTCCATTAAAAAATTCTGTAGAAGCCTAAAGAGAATTTGTTGTGTATAATATCTGCACATAAACTTAAATATGCAGTTATCTGTACATAATTTTCTCAAAAACTTGTGTATCTTTGATAGATGTCTGTTTGTCTTTTTGTTTCTCCTTTCTTCCTGCTTTGTTCCCCCACATCATTCTGAAAAGGAGTATAAGCAGGTATCATTCTGTATTTATTAATGTCATTTAAATTTTTTTTTCCATTGCCATGCTATAGAATCTGGAATTTGTGTGTACCAGGTTTGACGAGTACTTTGATAATTAATTTTAAAAAGGTGTGTGGGATTTCTGTCTTCAGTGTGTCTTCACTTGGTCTTATTAGTGATAAAGGAGGGTGCTGATTTCGGTAGTCATAGCTTTAAAGTTTTGACGTCTTATTAAAGAGAAAGCTGTCAGCCTTATTTTAGGCTCCCTGATCTGTTTACCGTTAGCCTTTGTTCTAGTGGAGAAGCTACACATTATGTTTGGTCTCCTCAGCCTGTGGTGTCTGCGTATCTGACCTAGGCTTCCAAGCGAAAGATGGTCGGTCCCACAGGGCTCTCAGCAGCCTGGAAGAATGTCCTTGTTCAGACCGGATTGAAGATTGTGTTCTGTCCAGAGGGAATTTGTTGGGCCCTCATCTCTACCAGGTCCAAGGACTGTTCTTCACAGAGATTCAGTAGGATGTGGAAGAAGAAGGCCATAGCTTGGTTGGCTCAGGGAACATCTGCCTTTTTCCCCTCCTGCCATCTTCTTTGGCAGTGGAGGGTGACCTGTCTCTCTCCTTGGCACCTTTCCAGAGACTCTTCTGTCTTGACAACACCCTTCATCCTCGGAATCCTTTTCTTTCCTTATCTCAGAAAACTTTGCATACTGTACCTATTTCTCATTCTCTTATCACTGCCTTTCTCCGCCATCAAACAGAATTTACCTCTCCTGTTGGCCATTCTGCCAGAACCCCTCTTTGAACCTTTGTACCTGGTTCATTCCTTCCTTCCTTCTTGTCCTGGCGAGAGGATGGCAGCTAAGTTCTCCTGGGCACGTGCTCTGTTCTACCCTTGAAGATCAGTGTCAGGCCTGGGTACAACATAGGTGGCAGCCTCCCCACCAGCTGATAGCCTTAGCTTTCCACTGTCACCAGCTGTGTGGTCCCCTCACACATGTGGAGGGTAAGGGAACAATCTACCAGCTTCACAGGCCTGACGTGGCTCAGGCTGCATATGGCTCTGTAGATGTGTGGTCTTTCTGTGTGTGTGAGAGAGACACCAAAGCCCACAGTCAAATTCTTGGTCACTTTCATAAGTAACAGGGACGTTGGGCTATATAAGATTATAAAAATACTGATTTTTACCTTAAAAATAACTTCTTTGTTTATCCTTTCCATGTTAATTGCTACTCCCTGAGCTTATTCATCTGTTGTTTATCTATCAAGCATGTGTTAACAGCTGGTAGCTACTAGGCACTGGGATTCAGTGGTGAGCGAGATAGCTGCAGCCTCTGCTTCTGCACAGCTCATGGCTGTGATAATGCCATAATGCTCAGATAATGCCATAGGGATCTGCTTCTCTCTGCCTCTTCCATTTCCCTCTGTCTTCCATGGGGCTTCCCTCCTGGGAGAGTGTGCCTCATATGTGCTTGGCTTTCGTTCTTTGCTTTGCGTGCTTTGCATGGTCCAGGCTCTATAGCTGACATTTAATGATTCTGTTCCAACATTCCTTCCTTGGTGCTTTTTTTTCCTCCTGTTACCTCCCCTGGCAGTGGAGGGTGACCTGTCTCTTTCCTTGGCACCTCACCAGAGACTCTGAATTATCTGAGAACAACTTACCCTTTAGGTACAGTGCCTAGAACCTACAGTGTTAGGGGCCCATAAAATGTTAAATTTTACTTCAAATCAGAAAACGCAGATGAGAACTATAACTTGTAATATTTTTTATGGAGGAGGGGAAAAGTGTTTAGGGCCTATGAAAGTCACAGTGTAGTCCTGCTTGTGACATGTGCCCCGTTATGTTTTGCTGTATAATTGCTGCTGGACCTGACTGTTCCCAGAGACAGGAACTCACAGAATGTGAGAAACATGACTGAGAACCCTCCGCATCCCAGGCCCTAACTTGGGGCCTGGTATGTCTTAGGCTCTGCAAATATAGCACAGGGACAGATGTCGAAGTGTAGCAACAGCATTTGCAGGGAGAGAGGGAGTTTTGTTTGGTTGTTTTCTCATTAGTTCATGGGCAAGTCAAGGGAAAGAGACCTAGGTACCCACTGAGTCTATAGCCTAGTGATGGCCTGGGCTGCCTTGGCTCAGTTACTTCCACACATTCCAGAACTCATTGTGTTTTTCTTACTGGTGACAGCAGAAGTTATATATGGAGGGTAGGATTAGGGGCACCAAGCCTCTGTGCAATTGACAATCCATATATAACTTTGACCCTCCAAAACATAGCTACTAATATAGCCTACTGTTGACTGGAAGCCTTACCAATAACTTAAACAGTTAACATATAAATAGACTAATAGACTGGTACCTGTATATATTTTCTGCATTCATGACATGCCTAACTTTTTCTGAAATTTAAAAAAAGTATTTCTATGCTACACAGTTCATCAGTTTTTCCAAACTTTTGCAAATCTCCAAAAAAATTTTCAATATACTTATTGAAAAAAAATCTGCGGGTGAGTGGACTTGTGCAGTTCAAAGCCCATGTTGTTCAGGGTGTTCAGGGGCCAACTGTAGTAGTTAGAGAATAGGCTTTTTTAGTTTTAGCTTCTCCAACTCCCTGGAGAAGCTGGAGTTTGTGGAGTGGGAGAGGCATTGTAGAGCTCAGATCCCGTGGTACAGGTGAACTTGGTGGTGCTAGTAATCTCAGTTTTCCTCATCTGTAAAATGGAACAATGAAACTTACCTTGTAGCATTGCTGTGAGGATTAAGTAATGTGATATATGTAAAGTGCTTGTTGTTAACTCGTTTCATGACATTGCAGTTGGTGCCTTTGGTGGTGTTTGGGTGGTTCTCTTTTAAAGCCCTGTTTATTGTGTAAGGTACACCATCAATTTAATAGCAGCAGTCTGGGAAGTAGGAAACACTGCTGTGTAAGCTGTATATCTTGATTGCATGATGAAAATAAATTGCAGGCATGTTAAAATGTGAATGAAACCGGTCTTGGGTTCAGGGTAGAATGGGCTTAGCAGTGCAGCTGATGATATGGGTGTAGGGAGCTGTGGCCAGGATGGAGTTCAAGTCAGCAGGTGTTTCCCTATTCTGGAAGCATAGTGAGAAGTCAGGGAAGCTGTCTTTGTGATCTTCAGGAAGTCACTGTGGCTCCCTAAGTCATAGAGGAGGTGATTTCTCACACAGTGGTAGTAAGAAGTCAAGAAAAGGACCTGATAGATGGTGAGGGGCTACAAGAGGAAGGGTTGTCTGCCTGCTTCTCAGGGCACTTCAACCTCCGGCACTGACCACTGTTGGTGAACCAGGATGTCTTGCCCACATCCAGGTCCCCTTTGCCGCAATTGACATTCATTTTTCTGCCTTCCAGGTTCTATTTCACCAATTGGCATGGAACCAACGACAATGAGCAGTCAGTGTGGCGTCATTCTCCAAAGAAGCAGAAAAATGGCTACGAGAAGAAAAAGGTTCCAGATGCAACCCCTCTCCTTGATGCCAGTTCACTGGAGTATCTGTTTGCTCAGGTAGGAAGTTTGGGCCCTGGAGAAACTGGAGTTTGTGGGGTCAGAGAGGCAATGCAGAGCTCAGATCTCCTGGTACAGGTGAACTTGGTGGTGCTAGGGTGCCTTATGGTCTGTTCTGGGGAAGCTCTTGCCACTCCTGGACTTGCCCCAAGTGAGGAGACAAAAGGCTGCATTTCAGCATTCCTAGAGGCTGGTTATCCAGCTTGTGGGCTTTCCAGGCTTCCCTTCTTTCCTATTCCTTTTTTCCCACCTGCTGCCATTTTATTTTCCATCCGTATTGCCTTGTGTGCAGAGGTCAGAGGGAAGCTGTAATTGAAAGATGTAATTCCACAGGGCTGAGGAGGAAGGCACTTCTCTGCAGCTGTAGTAACATTTAGGAAGGAAGGAGATGGCTACCGAGTCACAGGTGGTAGAAACATAAGACACTAGGAAACAACCAAAAGAGAAGTTAGAATCACCTGAAATTATATTTATGCTGAGATTACTAAGATTTTTGATGCTGTGCTTCCTGATTTCAACATGCAAATTTAGATACTGTGTAGATTTTGAAAATACTTTACAGTTCATTTTGTTTTAAACTGCTTTTTTATTCATCTGATTTTTTTTTTCATTGCTTGTCCTTCAAATGTCAATTAAAATAGTGATCTTTATTGTTTTAATGACTTTGCAACAATTCATTTATTCAACAAATATTTACTGGATGTCTGTGTACTATTTGCCTCAGAACTTGTACTTGTTAAGATGCTGGAGTGAATAAGACAGACATGGCCTCTTTATGCATCAGATGCACATCAAGTTAGAAAACAAGCAAATCAAATGATATGTAGATAATACAGAAGAATTACGGAAAGTGCTGTGAAGGGAGAAGCTTGTGATACAGAATATGGAGTGGGGGGGTTGAATGGGAAGACCTAATTTAAATAACGTGATCAGAGAAGGTCTCTCTAAAGAGGTAACATTTATAATGAATCCTGAAGAATAAAAAGGAGCCTGCAATTCTGAGAGAGGGGTTGGGGGAGTATTTTCTTTCATGTAAAGTGTCTCAGCAGCAGCACTGCTGACCTTTTGGGCTGCGTGATGATTCTTTGCCGCAATGGCCTGTGCTGTGCATTGTAGGGTATTTAGCATCACCCCCGCCCTCCATCCTGTAGATGCCAGTAACACTCTCTCCCTAGAAGTGACCAAAAATGTCTTCAACATTGCCGACTCTCCCCTTAGCCTCAGTTGAAAAGAGCTGATGTGGAGGGAATAGAATGGGGGAAGGCCCTGAGGGCCAGGAGAGCTGAAAGGGGAAGCCGTGTGGTTGCAGACCAAAGGAGGGTGGTGGGGAATGAGTCTGGAGAGGCAGGTGGGGCAGATTGCAGAGCCTTGTAGAAGCTGGCAAGGGGCTATCCTTTTACCCTGAGTGTGGTGGAAAGCCATTTGGAAGGCTTCATTTTATGTATGTTTCAAGTCAGTGATGATTCTTGTAATATGTGGAAAGTAGATTGTGGGGTCCAAGAGTACACTCCACACATGCAAGCTGAGAGTCTGCAGCAGTGGTCCTGGGAGAAAAAATGCTGGTTTGGCCTAGTGTAGCGATAGTGACAGTGGAGAAAAGTGATTAGATCTACTGTTCATCTTGAAGATAGACTTGATAGGACTTGCTGTTGAGTTGGATGTGGAAGCTGAGAGAATTTGAGGAATCAAAGATGATTACTAGGTTTCTGTTCTGGGTGACGTTGGTTTAATAATGGAGTCATTCCCCACACAGGGAAAGTCGTTGGGGAAGAGGCTGGGGAAGGGGCAGAAATCAGGAGTCCTTTGTCAGAGATGCCTGTGAAACTTACAAGTAGAGATTTCAAATAGGAAATTGAGTAATGAGGCTGGAGACCAGAGGAAAAGCTGTCATTTATTTAACATAGCCACCTGTCCCTGGGCATTTTCTGTTTTTCTCATTTTCCCTATTATGCTGTTACTTTATAGTCTCTTGTGAACAGCTGCATACATAGGTGTCCTGTACATGTTGTTTATTATTTCCTTAGAATATACTATTACATGTGAGATCACACACACATAATAGTGTATCTCTGTGTCAGAGTTATATCCCATTGTAGGGCTTTGGTTACTGATTGTGCATTATCTCCATTCCATCTATGCCTTAGAGGCAGTACAGAAAGGAGACAGTGCACAGCCCCAAGCAGATACTGTGTGGAAAGCAAATGAACTGGCCATTGTCAGATTGTTCTTTTTGGATTCAGCTTCCCAGTTTCGTGTATCCATAGCTGAGATTTATTCTTTACCTTTCTTGGGAGCAGAGGTGTAAAGGAAGAGTGTGCCAAACTTCATGAATAAGCATGGCATTAGATCTGACCTTTTGGAGGCTCAGGATTAATTGACTTGAGGTGGCTGTACAGTGAATGTTCACAAAAAACCACAGCCCAACAAGACAGTTTCAGGTTTTGTTTTGCTCTTCACACGTTATTGGCGTAGATCATTGTTCCTCAGAAGTTTGTGGAACTGATCAGTGACCTTTCCTCACCTGAGAGAAACAAGAAATCCCATGGTGAAGAGAAACTGGAGCAGTGGGAACCCTCCAACCAAAAACCATTAATCTGAAGTTCTTTAGGGAAAGAGAACCTCTCACATATGCAGGAACACTTCTCCCAGGCTTTGTGCCTGCCCTGCTCCAAGCTGGAGAAAGGCTAGAGTTCACACCTTAGAGTTCTATGTACTTTAAGTTAGTTCATGAAGACCGAGTGTGGCGGTAGCACAGCATTGAACAGTGGTCCTGGTCAGGTCTAGACTCCATCTCAGCCTACCACTTGCTAAGCCCTGGGCCCTCAGGGTACTCGGTTCTTCTACTCGACTTGGGGTTTTGTAACTACCTGACATTAGATATTCCTATTCATTTATTCTTTTTTTTCCTCCTTAGGGTAGAATTTCCATGAGATCAGGAACATGGCTTAGTTTATTGCTGTATCCCTAGGTCCTAGAATAACATCTAGCCCATAATTAGTTCTCAGTAATTACCAAATGAAGGAGTGACTGAGTGGGGGCTGTTGACCATTTTGTGCGCTAGATTCCTCATGTGTTGGAGATGATGATGTTAACATCCACCTTGTGAGGTGTTGTAAGGACTAAAGAACAGAACCATGCACTGTCTGGCAACTCTGAGCCTGGGTTTAGTCCGTGGGAGCTGGCACTGGCATTATCATTTTTACTCTGTACAAGGCTGGGCTGGGCACTGCTGGTTACCCTTGTTTTATTTTTTGTTTAAAGTTCCTGTTGGTTCTTAGAATACTGTGCACTCCATCAGTGAGGGGGTATGTTTTAGTGATACATGTCACTACGGGAAACTTGAACGGCAGATATGGGAAGATGTACCTGTGATGATGATGCACTGTGGAATGTTCCCTTTTCTCTAGAGCTACATCGGATGGAGGGAGAGCCCGGTCAACTCTGTAAACCCAGCTCCTAGACAAGGCCATCTCAGCACGTTTGTGGAATTAACGCATGACCAGAGCTCAGCCCAGTGTCACCTTCCCTTGCTCTGACGCAGTCCAGGCCTAGTACACGGTGTTTGTCAGCATCACTTTAATGACGAAGGGACTTCATATGTCTGTACTGTTCACCAGCACCTAGCATAGCGCTCAGTGTTTGTTAAATGAAGGAACGTGGGAGAACATCTCCTGAGCCCCTTCATACTCAGCTTTGTTGAAAAAGAGCTTTGATGCTAGAGAAACTCAATCTGATTTGTCTCATTGCTGTGCTGCTTTTCTAGGCAGCACCTCCCTGTGTGGGGAGTCTTCCTCTCAAGATCAAAAACAGGTGGGCTCTCATGTTTTCTCCCTTTTGCTCCTAGGGACAGTATGATTTGGTGAAATGCCTGGCTCCCATTCGAGACCCCAAGACCGAGCAGGATGGGCATGATATTGAGAACGAGTGTCTGGGGATGGCTGTCCTGGCCATCTCGCACTATGCCATGACGAAGAAGATGCAGTTGCCAGAACTGCCCAAGGACATCAGGTAAAGCTTCCCGCTGGCTGAAGAATTGATTGGTCAGGATGGTGTTGTTTTTATATGCTCTTAAACATTTCAGCTCAACGACTGCCAGGGTTTGGCTGACCCTTGCTTTCTGTGAAACCCAGAGCTTATTTAGAATGTTTACTATGTGTACCATAATTATAATTGTGTCCTGATTTGGGATGTTGGCTGCTAATCTCAGAAATTTGTGCTTGAGTGAAATTTCCGGATTGAGGATGCCAATAAAATTAGTGACCCCAGGCCTTCTCCATCCCCTCCTTGCCCATAGTGGACGCTGCCATCTATCGCTGCATTTTTTCCCTTTTGTTTTGGATCCATCTTAAAATCCTTCTCAGTACAGTTCTGCAAGCAGCAACTACCCCATCCCCAGCCTGAACTCTCAAGGTGTTGTAGTAGTTCACTATAGAACTGTTAATTCTAACGTGAGAATTGATCAACTACTATTAAATATCCTATGAAAACTGCATTTACTTTAAAATATCATTTGAGATGTTGGTGAAGGAATATTTAATTTCTGCCCATCCATGACATCCAATAGTTGTTTGCCCACCAATGGGCTATTAGGATTGTCATAGATGAGGACGCTGTCATTTTGAAGAGGGGATTTCGTAGCTGTATTATTTGCGATAGGCGGTGTACATCTTCTCATAAGGTTGCTGCTTGTTTCTCCTTGTGCTTGACCAGAGTCTGGAGCAGATCACAGCTCAATCCTCAGTGATGCAGGGATTGAGTCAATATATGCTGAACTGCTGCTTTCTCTTTTTTTCTGTGGCCTTCACTCTGGGTACCTCCTCTTTATTTTTTCATAAGCAAAATTGAAAAATGACAGTTCTTCTCTAATTCTCTTTATTATATTACATTAATCTAAAATAAAAATTAGAACATTTGTTGAAAATAATTCCCAAACTTTACTTTTTTTCACTGTTCTGAAGCCACTCCATGCAGTAAGGATGACTGTGGACCAGGTGCTATCTCAGTCCTGGGAGTAACAAGCAGATCAGTCTCCACATTTGTTTGGCCCCTAGTGGACTTCTTCTTTGTTTCATGGGTACTCAGGTTTTTCTTAACATTGATTCCTGTTCTAGCAGTATTATCAGCTTGCTGAGATTCTGTTGGTTATAGATAACTTGCCCACTAGCACCTGGATCGGTAACTCATCTTTCAGCTTACTTTTGATCTTTTAAATAATATATCTGATTCTTTTTTTTTTTTTTTTTGAGACAGAGTCTCACTCCGTCACCACGCGCCAGGCTGGAGTGCAGTGGTGCGACCTCAGCTCACTGCAGCTTCCACCTCCCAGGTTCAAGCAGTTCTCCTGCCTCAGCCTCCTGAGTAGCTGGGACTACAGACCCACGCCATCACACCCAGCTAATTTTGTGTTTTTAGTAGAGATGGGGTTTCTCCTTGTTGGTCAGGCTGGTCTCGAACTGCTTACCTCAGATGATCCACCCGCCTTGGCCTCCCGCAGTGCTGGGATTACAGGTGTGAGCCACCACACCTGGCCTTGCAGACCATTTTCTAACCAGTGTGTAGATGTGAGTACTAATGTGCACAAGAATGGTGAAGCTAGCAAGCAGAAATGTAGATGGCCTCCCTTGATGACCCAGAAAATTTGGCAGTACCTGTAGCAATTCCCATTTTGTAGTGAAATCTGTGGAGCATGTGCTTTTCTTTTCTCTCTCAGTTTCTGTTCACCTCCATCTCCTTATGATAATTATCTCATTGCCTACTCCATCTAATGTCCTCTGAGAATAGATCTCCCTTTTCCATTTGGCAGCATATGGATTCGTGGACTTAGATTTGTTTCTAAACTGTTTTCTCCTAACCTGTACATGGAAAAGAGATGTATTTTCCTAATCTGTTTTAGCTACAAGCGATATATTCCAGAAACATTGAACAAGTCCATCAGACAGAGGAACCCTCTCACGAGGATGCGGATTAATAATGTTTTCAAGGATTTCCTCAAGGAATTTAACAACAAGACCATTTGTGACAGCAGCGTGTCCACGCATGACCTGAAGGTGAAATACCTGGCTACCTTGGAAACTTTGACAAAACATTACGGTGCTGAAATATTTGAGACCTCCATGTTACGAATTTCATCAGAAAATGAGATGAATTGGTTTTATTCAAATGACAGTGGAAATGTTCAGTACTACGAAGTGATGGTGACTGGGAATCTTGGAATCCAGTGGAGACAGAAACCAAATGTAAGTGGCTGTTGGCAGTCATTCAAACAGCACATCCCGTGTCACATGGCGTATGTGCTTATCCTGCTGGAGTCATCTGTCTGCATGTCTGTCACTCCAGTGGGATGAATTTAGGCTAGAGACCATGTATCATTCATCTTACATTTCATCCCTATAGCATAAAGTCTAAATAAGTATTGAGCTATGTAGAGAAATATAACAACATATATAATATGTAGTGGTATAATAACAGCAGACAGTTCCTGCATGTTTACCATGTGCTAAGTACTTTTCTAAGCATTTTACAGGTATTAACTCATTTATTTCTAAAAATAAAAAACGTTTGAGGGAAGTATTGCCATTGTCTCCATTTTACAGATGAATACAAACAGGCACAGAGAAGTTAAGAAACTTGCCCAAGGTGATAACTAATGAGCATTTGTGCCAAGAATTGAACTTAGGCCTCTGGCTCTGGGAAATTGGCTAATTGATTTTGCTTTTCAGAAGCTTCTTTCTGAGATATTTTTTGGATGAGGAAATAGAGCAGAATGCCTTGAGAGCATGGGTTTTAGACCCACATAGACCTGGTCCAAATCCTAGCTTCATGACTTACATGGCCTTAGGAGGATTATCTCACCTTTATCAGCAGCAAATTATTCTTCTGTTAAATGGAGGTACTTCCTGTCTAACTCAGGGTTGTGAAGAAACTAAATTGCATTTAGCATAAAGCCTGGCAATATAATAAATGTTGAATAGATTATTATAGCTGTCATAATGATTATTAGTATAATAATATTAAAGTACATGTGGGTGAATACAGTGGCTCACACCTGTAATCCCAGCATTTGGGGAGGCTGAGGCAGGCAGATCACTTGAGCCCAAGAGTTCAAGCCCAGCCTGGGCAACATGGCACAACCCTATTTTTACAAAAAACAGAAAAAATTAGCAGGGCTTCATGGCATATGCCTTTGTTCCTAGCTACTTGGGAGGCTGAGGTGGGAGGACCACCTGAGCCTGGCAGGTCAAGGCTGCAGTGAGCCATGACCATGCCACTGCACTCCAGCTTGGGTAACAGCAAGACACTGTCTCAGAAAGTTAAATAAATAAATAAATAAATAAAACGTGAGATCCATTTTCTCCTCCTCTTTTATTCTCATGCTAAAGCAACAATGCCTGATACTTACTGAGGGCTTTCTATATAGTGGGTATTATACTATGTTAGTTAACACTTATCTAATCTCAGAGAACCTGATGAAGATGTAAGCTCTCTATTTTATGAATAGGGAAAATGAGTCTCAAAGAGATGATGTAACTAGTTAAGTAATTGGCAGAGACAGGAAGTTAACCTAAACCTCTGGTCACCAGGACTTATGCTACGCAAAATATTTACACTTGTGCAGGTACGTATTATTCCATGTGTAGATTATTTCAAGCATGAGATTCATGTCTTCTCTTGAAAATCCCGACTTGAGTACTGTTATAAAGTCAAGACGATTGGTGACAGAAGGAGAAAGCTCATGTTCAGCCCAGTTGTAACTGGGAAGAGCGTGTTATCTGTCTCTGTCAAAGCATGTCTAGTGGTCTGGAAGTGAGGGGACCTGGATGTAGATGTATGTCTAGTGAGCAGTGATTTTCCTTTCTGAGTTTGCTTGCACATTGTGTATTACGTAGAGTTTAGACACTGTGCTCATTAAGGCCTCTTCCAGATGTGAAAGTCCAGGATTCTCTGATAAAACCTGATATTCTCTGATTCTCTGATGTAAGTTGTTTGGTCCTAAGTCTGCAGGTGCCAGCTTCCCTAATCCTTCTGCAAGTCTAGATGAACTGGCTTTTTCCTCGTTGGGCCTAGGCCCTGCATAGGTTTGCCAGCAGCATTGACCTTTTACCAATAGAAAATGAAGAAGCCAACTTAACCCTGTCCCTTTTATGCATCTTATCAGGTTGTTTCTGTTGAAAAGGAAAAAAATAAACTGAAGCGGAAGAAACTGGAAAGTAAACACAAGAAGGATGAAGAGAAAAACAAGGTCCGGGAAGAGTGGAGCAGTTTCTCTTACTTCCCTGAAATCACTCACATTGTGATAAAGGAGTCTCTGGTCAGCATCAACAAGCAGGACAACAAGAAAATGGTAAGTTCCTTCCAGAAGTTCTTCAGTCTGGATTTGGTGAAGAGAGGGAGAATTGCTGAGTTCCGTTCTGTGGCACATGATTTTCAGAGTTCCTGTCCCAAAGAGAAAATAGGATTTTCTCAGTCAAGCCAAAAAGTTCCTATTTCCAAGGAAGGCATTATCAGTGTTTTAGTTACACCAATACATTCCAGTGCCTTTCTTTGGTCTCAGAAATGTGAATTTGCCTTAGGATTTGCTGTCCTCCCAAAGATACCTCAGCATCAATATTTAATTCACAAAGCTAGTAGATTTGACAGAAAAAAACCAGCGAATGTGTCAGTGTTTTATCTCAAGGGCTCTGGCACGGCCTCTCTGCTGAGCTGAAGTGCAAAGCAGGAAGTCCCGCTTTGGCCTCAGGCTAGCCTTGGCCACAGTGGCAGTCCTCCATACGGTGTCAGGCACACCCCACACTGACGCTCGGGCAGCGGAAGGGGTGTTCAATCTCACTTCCTCTTTTCTGGTGTCACTTGAGGACATAATCTAGACAAGCAGGAAGTGGCAACTCTTGCCAAAATAAACCTGTTTGTGTCAAGGGAAGTCACAGCCAGCAACACACAGAGAGAGTGGCTGGTGAGACAGCAAGCGCTCCTGGGGGGAGTGGAGCCAACACCAGGAAAGGCCACGTTCTGCCAAAATGTGGCAAATACTGCATCACACCAATAACACTCAGTGCTGAGGAGAAGCCTGGTGATACAGTTTAGGGCAGACTGTCACTCTCATATTCAGAATGACTTGTCTTTCTGGCATAACCTTCTGGAAAACGGTTTGGCAACCTGTTAAAAGCTTGAAAATATTTATGTATCCCTCAGTTTGGGAATCTAGAGAATGAATCTGTCTTCCAGAAACAATGTGAGAGGCAGGTAGTGGTTTATGAATAAGAATGTTCATTCCATTTAAAGTGTCAAAATACTGAAAATAACTTAAATATGCAGTAATAGGAGAATAGGAAAATAAATCACAATTTGCCTGAGTAGCAGAATATTACACAATCAGATTGCTGAATTTTTAAATGACCTGGGAAGAAGATTAGGGTAAAAAGCCCGATACAGAACTTTACCTATAGAATGATACCAATTTTGTTCAAAAAAATCAATAGGTTTGCATGTGTGTACACATGCTCTTAGAAAAATAATCAAATATTAACTGCTATTTATTTATGGTGGCATTGTGAGTGGTCTTAATTTTCTTATTCTTTTTTTTTTAACAAAAAACATGCATTATGAAGGGAGATGTAGAAGAGCTCAGATAAATATTAGTGGAAAGATGCAAAATGGGGGGAGAAAAGAAGTCCTGTTTATGGAGCACATCCTGGACATTAGGCCCCGGGTTATTTGCTGTGCCTATATCTTGTCTGTCTTAGTCCTTATAAGAACTTTACAGGAAGGAACATCAGCTCTACTTCAAATGAGGAATCTGAGACTAATCAAGAGGCGCATGGCATCTTGCACAGGGTCACTCAGGAGAAAGTGGCAGGCACTTGCCCAGCTCTGTCTGGCTCCTGCCTGTGGTTTTTGCCTATGTTGCTTTGGCTTCTAAGACATTATTATCCCCCAGAGACCCTGAAGGGAGTGAGGGAGAGATGGACATGTCCGTGATCTGGCTCTTGAATACGGTGCATGCCTGGTGCACATTTTATGAGCCTGCCCCATCCTGTACTTTCCTGTCCTGGCTCACCAACACAAGTTGGTGCACCCATCATCTAAGTCAGAGCTCCCCTTGGCCAGATGGGTCAGCAACTCTATGCCAAGCTACAGTGCTGTGGAGGGAGGAGGAAGGAGGCAGGAAGAAAGAAATACTTGAAATCTCCATTAGTTTGTTTTTCTTTACCATGCTGGCCCTTACTATGTGTCAGACACTTCCCATTCTGAGCACTTCACAAATATCACCTCTTTTGATTTTCATATCAACTCTATGGATGAGTATTTAGGGGGAAACTGAGGCATAAAGCGGTTAAGTAACCTGTCCAAGGTCACACAGCTGTTCAGTTAAAACAGTTGAAATTGCTAATATTTGACCATTTTGACCTACAAAAATGGTGAATCTAGATGCATAGCCCTAACAGCAGGTGGAGATGCTGCGATTTGAACCCAGAGCATCTGGCTCCAGAGCCTGAGGGTTGGCCACTGCTCCATGCTGCCTGTTTAGTATTTCATGTCCTCATTGTCCCTTCCCAGCCATGGGATTTCCAGGCCCTTTAATCAGGCAGTACCTTGAAGAAACCCAGATACCAGCGTGTTGTCAAGTCAGACCTTGATGTATCACTTCTCTCTGCATCTCCTTGGCATCCCCCATTTCTATTTAGTCTTCTGCTCTCAGGAAACATAAGTGCAGACATGGTCTTGATTATCATGTGGCTGGCTGAGGGGCTGCCCACGCCAGTCTGCTTCTAGTTCTAGAGAATCTTGAATTTGCCCTTTAGGGATATCCACCGGTGGGTGCCTGGTCACACCCACAAGGCAGTGTGCTCAGTGTGGTTTCTTTCCTGAGGCACCATTCCTGTGGTGGGCCTGCCCTCTCCAGGTCCTTGCTCATAGCCCCAGCCTATGCTTCCTTGACATCACAGCTGCATCAGGCCCCTGACCTCCCTCCTGCCGAGGCTCATCTCGTCCTGCTCCCTTTTCCCTTCACTATCCTCTTGTGTCTGCCACCTACTTCTCCTTTCTACAGGGCTACAAAAGAGTCATTTTGCCCTTTTCTGAAGCCTCGGATGCTTTTTAATATTTTTTGTGAGTCAAAGCTCCAAATCATGGCTTTTGCATACCTTCCCTTGCAAGGAAATGTTCTTGATTGACCTCATAGCTCCTCTCAAATGGGCAGTCTCTTCAGGGATCAATGATCAAGACAGAAATAACCCATATCTACACCACAGGTGTTTTTCGGAACACCTTCCTTGATGGAAATACCCTCCCTCCTTTTCTCCACATGTGCCTTTGCCTCTTCCTACCCTGAGTAAGATGCTCTGCTTCCTCCAACTCTCAGAGCTCCCGGGGCTTAATCTAGCATCTTCCTCACTGGGCCTGAGATCATTCATTCCTAGATTAAAATCCAGGCATTTCTCCTTCTAGAGCAAGTCTGCCAAGAGATGAAGCATGGTGCCTCTGTTCCTTTTGTCCCAAGCAGGAATAATGCTGACTCAGCCACTCATTGTTTAGTGCCAAGATCAGGGTGCATGCTTGGCCCCTTCCTACCTCCACTGTTAATGCCTCTGCCACCTTTCTTCAGGCTTCTTCTCCCGTCTCGACCCAAGGGACGGCTTCTCTGCAGGTCTCCCTGCCTGCCACAACCTCCCCCATCTCTCTCTCTCTCTCTCTCTCTCTCTCTCTCTCTCTCTCTCTCTCTCTCACACACACACACACACACACACACACACATACACATACACACACACCCCCTCATCTGATAGTTTGAGATAATAGATGGGAAAATGTGTTGAACAGTGAAAATCCTATGTAAATGCAAGGGGGATCAGGCATGGTGGCTCACACTTGTAATCCCAGCACTTTGGGAGGCTGAGGTGGGTGGATAACTTGAGGTCAGGAGTTTTAAGACCAGTCTCGCCAGCATGGTGAAACCCCATATCTACTGAAAATACAAAAACAGCCAGGTGTGATGGCGGGTGCCTGTAATCCCAGCTACTCAGGAGGTAGCTGTGTGTGCGTGTGCATGCAGGTGTGGGTGCTTTTGTGTGTGTGTGTGTGTGTGTGTGTGTGTGTGGCTGAGGCAGAAAAATCACTTGGACCCGGGAGGTGGAGGTTGTAATGAGCCAAGATCACTCCACTGCACTCCAGCCTGGGTGACAGGGTAAAAGTCCATTTAAAAAAAAATAAAATAAAAATAAATGCAAGGGGTATATTTAGTAGCAATGAAAAGGTTTTCCCTTTGGGGCTCCTATTGTGTTTAAAAATCTTCTCACTGTGTACCTCCCTATAGAGTCAGCTGCTTAAGCTTAAAGAGACATGCTGTAACTATGGGGATTTCTTTCCTCTTAACAGGAACTGAAGCTCTCTTCCCATGAGGAGGCCTTGTCCTTTGTGTCCCTGGTAGACGGCTACTTCCGGCTCACCGCAGATGCCCATCATTACCTCTGCACTGATGTGGCCCCCCCGTTGATCGTCCACAACATACAGAATGGCTGTCACGGTCCAATCTGGTTGGTCCTAGAACCTTTTCAGTTGTCTGTGGTGTGCAGAGAGCCCAGGTTTTAGTTACGGGGCATGTCATCCGTTGGTTGGGTTGGGCCAGTTGACTAAGCTGCCTGGAGCATGTTGGCTGTCCTTTCCTCCCTGCTGTCCAAGCTCTGGTCAGTCCTTCCCGTCATCTCCTGTCTTGCTCCTTGCAGTAGCCCCTCAATGATACTTCTGTACTTGGATCTCTCCTCATAGTTTAACTCCCTCACGTCTCCATAACTGATCAAGAATTACTACACTTTCTGATTTCTTGCTGTGTCAAATAATGTGGGCAATTCAAGAAACACTGAACACAGCTGAGCGTGCTGCCATGTGCCTGTAGTTTCAGCTCCTTGAGAGGCTAAGGTGAGAGGATCACTTGAGCCCGGGAGTTCGAGTCTAGCCTGGGCAACATAGCAAGGTCCCATCTCTAAAAACTATAAAAAAAGAAAAGGAAAGAAAGATTGGATGAAGATCTTAGCATCAGTCAGTGTAGTAAATAGAATCGTAAGTTAATTTGTCCTAAGGTGCCAGGGGAACAGTGGGGACCATGAGGATGATACAGCCTTAAGGCCAGAAGTGGCTGTGTGGGGTGTGTTTTTCTACCTGCATCTCAGAACTGGCAGCCTGTGCTCAAATACCTCTGGCAATGGGCACTTTATGAGGCGGTCCATGGATTCGAGCTCCAGCAGTGAGAGATGTGCATACCTTTCTGATATGGAGCTACGGTAGTTGGCTTCTCTGTAACTTCTGCCTATTCACTTGAATTCTGCCTTTTGAGACAACAGGGATTCTGTTGACTTTCTCTTACATATGACAGCCCTTCAGGCAAAGGAAAACAGCTGCTGTGTCTCCTCTGAGCCTCTCTTTCCAGACCATAGAATATCTGGGGAAGCATCTCTCCTGCCACTTTCCACATGACATGCTTCTCACCTTTTTCCCTCTTCTGGCTACCTTGTGGGCAGGTAGCTTAGTAGGCACGTGGCCCTGGCCTTGAGAGGTTTACAGAATTCTTGGGAAACAGACATATATAGAATGGCAGAGCAAGGGATTGAGCATTTTCCCGCCAGTGTCCCTGCCATGGTTGTGTTTGAGGGCCCTGGCACTCGCTCTTCCCTTGGCCCAGAATGCCCTTCCTCCAGAATCTGCACAGCCTCCACTTCCTTCAGGTGCTGGTCAGATATCACCTTATCTGTGAAGTCTTCCCTGACCATCACCTTATGTAACAATCATACCTCTTTCCCTTCTCTATCCTGTACGTTTTGGCTGCTGCACTCTGCCTTGTTTTTCTTCAGTGGCAGTCGTTACTTCCTGAGACACTGTATTTATTTGCATAACATAACATTTTTTCTTGGTATGACCGCCCTCACCTCCCAGATTATGAGCTTCCCAAAGGCTGGGGCTGCATTCCTCACCGCTCGCTTAGCACACGCAGGGCCTGGCACATTGTAGGCCTTCAGTGAATATTTGTTGAATGAATGGATATTTCATGTTTGGTGGGATGCTGACATTTATTGCCTAAGGAGCCTGCTCAGAGTAGGTGGCATTCAAATCTGATGAAACTTTGAAGAATCAATGATGGCTTGCCAGGCCTTAAAGTGGGGAAAGGGCACCTAGATGAGAAGCCAGCACATGCAAAGGCATGGCGCAGTTGGAAAGTACATAATGTCTCCGTCTCTCTAAAACACGTGAACCATGGCAGCCCTCTCTCACTACCACTTAACAAGCAGCGCTCACCAGGTGCGAGTAACCTCATGCAGGGATGTATTCAGCCAGTGTTCACTGCCCTCTACATGCCAAGACTCACTGGTCCTGGGGATACAAAGAAGTGCAAGACAGGCCTGTTCCTACTAACATCTGTCCAAGCCTCACTGATGTATTCACTCAGTGTGAACCCATGGGTATACAACAATAAACAACACAGCCTTCAGTTCCCATGCCCATGAGGCTTGTGCTGCCTCTGGGCTGGCTGGGGGTGGAAGGGAGGTTCTGTCTTGAGCTGGAGACGATGTCTGTGGAGACTCTGGGGACAAATAGGGCTCATTGCCTTGGGCAGGAGGCTGAGTCCTCTTCTCAACCTTGGAGACGCCATCGGACCTGAGGCCACCTGGTATTTCCACTTTGCTCATGGCTGGCATCAGAGAGGACTTCAGGATCCCAGGCAGATAGTGTGATGGGGCTGTTAAGACTTGAGGCAGCTTGGGAAAGCGGATAGCCCAGGGGTTCATTGTGCTGTTTCGTATGAGCTCTTTCTCCCTTTGCCTCCTTCTCCCTCTAGTACAGAATACGCCATCAATAAATTGCGGCAAGAAGGAAGCGAGGAGGGGATGTACGTGCTGAGGTGGAGCTGCACGGACTTTGACAACATCCTCATGACCGTCACCTGCTTCGAGAAGTCTGAGGTCAGTCAGGACTCTGACTTGGGCCGGGCCATACAGCCATGGGGTGTCTAGTGTAGCCTGGCCCAGGAGCTGCTGCAGACAGAACCACCCTGCCAAGGTCCCTGAGTTAAAAAGCCTGGGTCCCTGAGAAGATCCCTGGGAGGCCAGGCAAGGGTGCCTGCTCTCAAAAGAAGGCTCCCAGCAGCTAGACCCCTGCATCCTTGCACATAGGCCCTTTCCTTCTTCCTTCATGGGACCCATGGCGGGGGTCCACCATGGCAGGTGGAATATGACCAGAAAACCAATTCACACTCAACACTTGGAAAGTATAGTGTAATTATTTAGAGTGGTTTATTTAGATTCAGTGCCAGCATCACCTCAGACCCAGAGCTATGCCTGTCTACAGCATTCACTGGGACGAACCAGCGCCCAAATGCCACTTCATCCACATGGCCTAACACAGTTTTTTCCAAATGGTGGCTTCAGGCACTTTAACAGACAAATCGCCACCCCATGTTACGACAACAAATAGAAATGTCTGTTAGTGATTGAAGCATAGCTGAAGCTGGAGACGATGTGAGAGACATTCTGAGGGCTAAGATATTTGTCAGAATTACTACTGACTTTGCCTCACTATACCGCAAATGCCTTTGTTATTCATGTAATTTAAAAAATACAAAGTGGAATATTTTAAAACACAGTTTTACACCACACTTTACATTAATACACTTTAGTCAGTACTAGTCAGGCTCTACAGGCACTGGGAGACCTGGGGCACAGAGGGGCTTTTGGCACGGAGGGCAGACGCAGGAAGGACAAGCTCAGTGGCAAACCCCTGGGGCTGGAGTCAGTCAAGAGTGGGAGGAGGAAACGGCAGAAGGAACCAGTGCTGCCCAGTATCCTGGGTGAGGCAGTGCAGGAACACCACCACCTGCCCAGCCTCTTCCTCAACAGCTGGGCCTCAGGGCTCCATGGCTCAGAGCTGGTTGGGCTCATTGCCTTCCCGGGACGCTTGCCTTCTATTCATCAGTCATTGGAGGAAGCTTAATATGTTTACGGCAGAGGGGTGCATGAGACAGCCCAGCCTCCTCCTGAAGTGAAATTGGTCTGTGCAGTACCAAGGGTATCTGTGACTGTGTAATATGGCCTACCTCCTGTCACATCACCCGGAAAACACAGCAGAAATGATTACTCCCACTACTCACTGTGGCCCACCAGACCCTGTGCTAAGCATCATATCTACCTGTGCTTGCTTAAGCCTTGTTACATAGGTGATACTATCCCATTGTGCAGATGAAGTAACAGATTTCGAATATCATGTCCTGGTTTACACCTTAAGTATGTCTTTCTGGCCCTCATTCTTTATCACTAAAATAGTCTAGTTTGTACAAAAGGAGCTCATGAGGGAGAACTGCTTATACCTCCTGTCTGTGGCACCACAGTGTCCCAAATCTGGATCAGACACTGAACACCACCTCCCAGTGTGGTTCTCCTCAAGTAGACACATGGCCCAGAAGGGCTCAGTGTGAGAGTGATCCTTGATAAATGTGGCCATCATGATTATTACCTGATGCATAATATTTGCTGGATTTTAGAAAGTGCTTACTGAGTTTTTCAACACACCATGTTATATAATTGTAGTGACAATCCTATGAGGTTGGTATTTTTATGAACTTTATCTTCCAGGTAAAAAACCAAGTGACGCTTTTGTAGAAATAGCTACTGTGTCTGCTGTAATATGAACTCCCTTTTATCAGTGCCTTCTCCTTGACCTTCTTTTATTATTTAGTTGTTGGTTGGTTTATTTATTGATAATAAACTTTATCTTTGAATAACTTTAGACTCACAGAAATGTTACAGAGATGGTGCACAAGTTCTCTATACTCTTCATGCAGCTTCCCTTAATGTTACTGTCTTCCATATCCACGCGTGACCCCATTTTAAACATGTAATTTCTGGTCATTTCCTGAATGGCAGGTGCAGGGTGCCCAGAAGCAGTTCAAGAACTTTCAGATCGAGGTGCACAAGGGCCGCTACAGCCTGCATGGTTCGGACCGCAGCTTCCCCAGCTTGGGAGACCTCATGAGCCACCTCAAGAAACAGATCCTGCGCACGGATAATATCAGCTTCATGCTGAAACGCTGCTGCCAGCCCAAGCCCCGAGGTTTGTCTCTCTGTGGCAGAGCCAAGCTGTATCCCATCAGTGATGTGCTGAGACCCAGACTGACCAGAACATGATGGCTGGCTTAACCAGGGTGGTCCCTTCCCACAGTTTCTAGGTGTTTTTCATTGAGTTTTATGACAGTTCTGTGCCCAACTCACATCCAGTCCCTTGAGTGTGAGCATTTTCTATAGAAGAGGCATATACCTTTCTCAGCATCTCATTAGGCTGCTGAAAGAGGCATGCTCAGCATTAGTAAGCAGAAAATCACTTCTTTCTTCCTTAAGATAAGATGCCTTGAGAGGTCGCCTGTCACTGGTTTATCTGAGAGATATTCCTGGCACATCTTTTGTGGGCCAAGAACTATATTAGATGGAAAGAATCAGAAAGCATAAGGCTTAGTCCCTGCTCTCTGGGGGTTTCTAGTCTAATGCAGATGTTACAGGTAAATGAGGCCACTGCAGTTTGTGACGGGCGTTTTAACTAACACGTAGAAGTCATACTCTGGAGTCAAACAGAAAGGGATGGTCAAAATCCCTGAGTTCTCTTTCCATGGCACAGGAGGCTGCATGGAAGAGGCAGCTCTTGAGCTGAGCATGGGAGGATAAGTGGGAGGTTGCCAGTGCGGTCAGGGCATGCTGACATGTGCAAACAGAGGCACAGGCAGGGCTGCCATGAAGGTGGAAGGGAGGGGCAGCTGAGGCTAAGCTTAGGGTGTGGGGCCCTTGGGAGTTGTGCCATGGGAGCTGGGTCTTTATCCTGCAGGCCATAGGGGCCAGGGAAGATCAGGCTGTAAAATGGATCCAAGGGGTGAGCCACTCAGCTGCTCCTTTTTAAGCTCATGAGCAGTGTCACCGATGTTCTGCAGGTAGATTTGTCTCTTAGAATGTGAGGACTAGAAGGACACCTAGAGGTCACACAGTCAACTGTCTCATTTTATAGATGAGAAAATTGAGGCCCAGAAGAGCTAAGTGGTTCTCATCAAAGGTCAGTGTCAAAGAGGAGTTTGAGTGCCAGGTCTAACCTGAGTGCCCTAGCTCTTGAAAACTGGTTATTTGCTGTTCCTCACCTCAAGATGCTGCCCTGCATGCATCAGGTTCTTCCCTTAGAAGGAGGAAGGCCTCAAGGAAGGGGCAGTGCGATTGCTGCTGAGGCCCGTGAGTGTCAGAGGAAGAGCTTCTGCAGAGTTTCTCTGAGACAGATCTTGTTCCTCTAAGGGAATGTGTCCATGAATCCTCATACCACCAGGGGTGAGTGGAGGAAGCAGCACCAGGGAAGAAGGGGACCTGGGTTCTTGATGTTTGAATCAGTTTTTGGTCTCAGCAAGGGGCTCGTCACTGACTTCGTGAAAGAGGAAGGACTTGTGTTTTTGATCAGATAGGGTTTCCTGCCAGGCCCAGAGAATAACTGCAGCCTTTGTTTTCATGCTTGGAAGATTTTCCGCAGAGGTAAAAACACATCTGCCACTTGGCTGTGAGACCTCAGAGTGAGTTCAAACCTTAAAGCCCAACAGCCCTATTTATTCACAGCAATGCACTTGAACCCCAGTTGAGACTCCTGAAACTCCGTGCTGAATGTGTTTCCTGTTGCCTTTCCCATCTGACTGTGAACTCTTAAGACAGGACCTGAGTCTCACTCACCACTCTGTGGGCTCATGGGGAGGATGGTGCCCAGCACAGAATCAGCGTGAATCATGCCTGTCAAGTGAACCAGGTACCAGGAGCTGCTGGATGATGGGTACCTCCTGTGGCCCAGGCAGTTTGTGCGCCCACTTCATTTATTTCATCTACACAGTAGCTTTTTGTAGATACTACAAAGGTGATGAAATTGAGACTTAAGAGATGTTAAGTGACTTGCTCAAGGCCATGTACCTAGTAGCATCGGTAGTAGGTATAAAAAAAGTAGCAATAATGAGTAAGAATGGCTGCTAGCATGTGAGTAATGCTTACAATTTGTAGGCGTTGTTTGGAGATCTTTCATGTTTTAAGGCATTTAGTCCTCAAAATAACCCAGAATATGTTGTTATCTCAATTATACATGCCCAAGATCACTTACAGAATGAGTAGGGATTTGAACTCACATTGTCTGACTCTGAGTCCAGTGATTCCTTCTCTGCCCCCAGCCCCCAGCTCAGGTCATGCTGTTGCCCCCATTTTTGTAGTGAGGAAACACCTTCATGGAGGTATTGGGGCTTTCCCCATTCACATTGTTGACACTGGTGTATATTCGCTGAAGTATCCATGCAAGTGTCCATGCAAATAATAGTCTCTAAATCAGGCATCCCCAGACTTTTTACACAGGAGGCCAGTTCACTGTCCCTCAGACCGTTGGAGGGCTGCCACATACTGTGCTCCTACCAATGAAAGAGGTGCCCCTTCCTGAAGTGCGGCGTGGGGCCGGATAAATGGCCTCAGGAGGCTGCATGCGGCCCGCGGGCCGTAGTTTGGGGACGCCTGCTCTAAATGGCTTTGATTCCATCCCCCTCTCTCATTTCCTACGTGGCTCTGCTGCCTGGCTTCTTGCTTATGGAAATCAGCTACGGTGCCCCTTCTTGATGCCTTTTCCAGCCTGAGTTGCCTCTGGATTGGATTTTCCCCAGGTAACAGAGTGGAGTCAGGAAAACAGTACGGAGGGAGCAGCCTCTGGAAAAAGGAGGGCCCAGGATATGAGAACAGGGGAGCCTCTCCCTGAGCTCTGTTTCTGGCACCCACATTTGTTCTGCCAGTTAGAACCAGGTGTGTTGTGGGAAGGGTAGCGACTAGAGCCATCCCTGACTTCAGTGTGAGTCCTAAGATGGTGAACTGTCTGGCCTTGGGCCAATTACTTAATATTGCCAAATCTGTTTTCTCATATATAACATGGGGATAAGAATACTGTGTATTCCACAGGATTGTCATAAGGACTAAGGAGTTAATGTGTATGATGCTCACGAAACAGTACCTGGCACAGAGAAAACAGTCAGAATATGTGAGCTTAAAAAATTAGATAGGAAAAGAATGCCCTGCCCTGAGGGACAGCAAGGATTAGAGACCGTGGTGGACTCATGTGGCCCTGTGCAGGGACCCAGCACTCAGCAGCCACTACCTCCCAGCGGCGCGTGTGGTGGCCTCCATGGGTTGTGCCTGGCTGTTCTTACAGATGTTCTTTCAGGAACTTCCTTCTGTTAGAATCCAGGAACCAGGACTTGAATGGCTCCATTTTCTCCCCTCACTTGTTATTGTCTTCTAGTGCAGGAAAGAGGAAGTAAAGGAAAATGCATGTTCGTTGGCATTTTCCTCATAGTCCTGCTTCAGTTAATTAAAAAATTGATGAATACATACAAGTTTTCAGGGATTCCCGGAATACTTTCCCTGCTAGTCGGAATCTGGAAGGTCCCTTCTTACCCTACTATCCTGTTGTTGCTTGCGGTGGCTCCATGGTGGGAAAGGTGATTTCTGTGAATTACAGATTTCCTGGCGTGGCGGATTTTGTAATGTGTTGGGTTTGCTGTTTGAATCAGTAGAATCTGGGGGATGGTCTACTTAAAACCTGCACATTTAGGGAGCATTTGGTAAGTGCCTCCTCTGTGTCAGGCACTGCTGGGACCAGGAGCCTCAGACAGGGCCCTCGTTCTGGGTCACCTGCCTTGATCTTCTGGCTCAAAATCAGTGTTTGTTCACCTCTTCCTCTGGTTCCTGTCATGCCCTGGGCCAGGTCCCGCTGCTGCTGCTTTCCACAGCTCTCATCCTTTAGACAGACGCCAGTCATTGATTCACATATTTAACAAATAATAATAGACTGCCTACTCTGTCCTAGGCTGTGGAGGTGGAACAGAAAGTTGGACACAGTCTCTGACTTCTTGCGGTTTCCATTCTTACATTTAAAATTTTAAGTTTGTTAGGAAAACTGCTTCTGACCCTTCTTACCAGAACAGATCTTGCCATGCCAACCTTGGAGCACCACACCCTTGTCCTTTAGAGGAGCTGAACAAATTGTAGCTATTTAATTGGTTGATTATTTGGAAGTTTTGGCTCCATCATGACCCTGTGAGCTCCTGGAGGATAGAGCCATGTGCTTCTTCAATAAGCATTTGTTGAATGACTGAAGAAGCAAGTGCCCACCCACGGGTCCTGACCCCGGCTCAGTGTCGTGGGCTGACCAGAAGCTCGGATCTTGGGCGCTGTGCTGAGACTCCTCCAATGTCTTCCACAGAAATCTCCAACCTGCTGGTGGCTACTAAGAAAGCCCAGGAGTGGCAGCCTGTCTACCCCATGAGCCAGCTGAGTTTTGATCGGATTCTCAAGAAGGATCTGGTGCAGGTGAGTCATGACTGCAGGGCGTGGGCCAGCTGTGGTCCTGCCTCCTCTCAGTGGAGCAGCCTGGGAGTCTAGGGGAAGGAAGGCTGTGTTTGGGGAAATCTTAGTAGAAAAAGAACAGGGAGACTTTCTTTTGATGGCAAAAGCCATACAACCAGTACCTCTATTCTCCTTACCCTTGCTGGTGCTCCTCAGAGACATGTTTTGAGGGAAGTGACTTAGCCAGGCTTTGTGGGGTTCCCTAGAACTGCAGGGACCCTTTGTGGTGAGGGAGTGCGGAGGGGGTGGCAGACAGGAGGTGGCTCTCCACAGGGGAGCATGGCTTCACCCCGCGCTGCCCGCAGCAGGCTGTGTGATGGAACACTTCCAGCGCCCGGTACTGTACCTTCTGATGATGCTTTCAGACAGAGCAGAGCTGGAGCAGCAGAGACCACGGGGCGGAGACAGGAGGACATGCACAGTCTAGGGCTGAAGGAGAACTGTCTTGAGAAACAGATCCCAGCCTTTAGAGGCCTTTTTACCCAGAATCTACAGGCTGAGGGGGCCCAGCATCTCCCCAGGGGCTGGGGGCTGTGGCTAGTGGTGTGAAGCCTGGGGAAAGCCCACTTTCTGTTCTGCCACCTCTCCCCAACCCCATTGCTTAGAGCCACGTGTTGAGGGGGTGTCAGGGAGACGGTGTGGCAGGCCTCTGGCAGGCTTGGAGAGAAGCACGGGGCGCCTCACTGCCTGGGGAGATGGCGGGGCCTTGGAGGTGTTGGAGGGTGGCATAGAGGCTGTCTGCTCTGAAGGAACCTGGGGAGGGTGGCCCGAGAGGGGTTGTTACTTTATCTTTTTCAGTGAGTCCCTGAGATTGTTGGGTAGGGCTTGAGGGAGTAGAAATCTATGGCTAAACTGCCTCACTTCTATCATGGTATATTTCTTCACCAAAGGCCCGTCCTTACTGTTCTCTATCCCTCCCGTGGTGTCAGAGCTGTGTCCTCAGATTACAGTCACCAGAGCCATCATAGCTTCTTTTCTGTGTCGAAGTTGACACAGTTCTTGGGGCCTGCCTGTTTTCCCTCCCTCTGAGCCTGTGAGCGGGTAACCACCATCCTCCCTGCCTTCCACTTAGCCAACAGCGATCAAGCATTACACATGCCAGGCACGACTGCTGCCTCGGCAGGCTCCTGTCTGTCCTGAGGAGGTAATCACGTTAGCAGGAGACAAGTTCCAAGGTAGAGGAATACAGCAGGATGCGGTCCTAATCTCGAGAGGACAGAAATGGCTTCCTGGGGAAAATGGCATCAAAGGAGAGTCCCACACCAGGCACAGTGGTTCACACCTGTAATCCCAGCACTTGGAGAGGCTGAGGCAGGAGGATCGTTTGAGCCTAGGAGTTTAAGACCAGCCTGGGCACACAATGAGATCCCATCTCTACTCAAAATAAAAATGAAAAAAATTAGCTGTGTGTAGTGGTGTGCAGCTGTAGTCCCAGCTACCCGGGAGGCTGAGTTGGAAGGATTGCATGAGGCCAGGAGTTTTAGGTTGCAGTGAGCTCTGATTATGCTACTGCATTCCAGCCTGGGTGATAGAGCGAGTCCCTGTGTGTTAGGGGAGGGAAGCAAGGTCTCATCCTGGAGGATGAGCTGCAAGTAGCTAGGCGAAATGGAGAAAACAGCATCAGAGGAGGCCGAAGTGGGCCATATGGGCCTTTGTGGTCCCTGCAGAATCCTGACAGTGTGGTGTCATGATGTGGCCACTGGAAGAGCAATTATTCTGAAAGCATATGGCTTTTATGGGATGTTCTGGGAATACAGCTTCCCATAACCTTGATGGATCACTTCATGACAGATGCAGCTTTAATGAATAGCCAAAGACCTTGCCAGGATACAGCGGACAGGGCAGATGCATTGCCATTCGGCTCTGACAGATGACAAATGGTGGCATTTGTGCAAATTAATATACCTGATTAACAACCGTGCATGTTCCTATGGGGGAGAAGACCGATTCCCGAGGCATCAGCCACAGTCCATTTTGTGCATTTCCAGGGTGTCCTCAAATAATTTAATTGACCTTCATTTTACAAGTTTTGTGAGACTAATGTTAACAACTTGACAGTACCTAAGTTTGGTGAATCACATTTTGATTTCCAAATATTAAGAATTTTAAAATCAGAGTTACTGAAAACTGGAAGGGTCCTCAGAAATAGATCATGGTATGGCCAGGGCTTTGCACAGACCATCATCTCATTCAGTCCTCCTGCCACTCATCCAGGGGTATTGTTCCCTTTCACATGTCAGGAAATGAAGGACACATCCCCCCAGTCTCTGCCTTCATCTTCACATTGTCATCTCCTCTGTGAGGTTGCCAGGGCAAATGCAGGTGCACTTTGCATCAGTAACTTGAAATTGTAGCATGCATGCACACACACAAGCACACACACACTGGATAGATGGATGGGAAACAGATGGTTCTGGTGTGAGAAATTGTGCCTACCTGTGCTAGAGGGCTTCAGACAACACATGGGCCCACCAGATGGGTTTCCACCCACTGTGTGCCCGAGTCTGTACCAGGAGCCTCTGTACCTGTTTCCTGGTTTGATTCTTACAACAGCCCTATGAAGTTAGTACCATTTTTACTTCCATTTGCAGAAAGTGGGCAGAAATTATTAACATGTCAAAGGAAGGTCCCCATGTCGCATGGCCAGCGGGTAGTAGAGCCAAGAATTACAAGCCTCTTCATGGAGTAGCACAGCCTGTGAGTGGAAGAGCCCTCTGGGGGCTCCTCTCTGAGTCTTCTCTGGAGGCCTGGGGTGGGTACCATGTGACTGGCTGTTGATGGCTCTGTTTGCAGTGTCATGACAGGTTAGGACTATGGTTTGGCCAAAGGCTGTTTCTGGAGGAAAGCAAGGAGCCGTTTAGGGAGTAGTAGGCGGATTGTCTCCTGGGACCCAGGAAATGTCACTACTGTGTTTGGCCAAATAGCTTGTTGTTTCCTCTGGAGGCCTGACAGGGACAAGGCGCTGGGGACCATGAGCTGGGGCAGGGAGCCCTCTTGCCTTTGCCCCATCCCATTGATAGTCCATGTTCCCATTGAGGACCCGTTCCTGGGCTCTGCAGCACTGCAGGGCACAGAGAGGTCACCCAGCCTTCCACTTCCTTCCTCAGGGCGAGCACCTTGGGAGAGGCACGAGAACACACATCTACTCTGGGACCCTTATGGATTACAAGGATGACGAAGGAACTTCTGAAGAGAAGAAGATAAAAGTGATCCTCAAAGTTTTAGACCCCAGCCACAGGGATATTTCTCTGGCAAGTGTCTTGCTCTGAACTCCTCCCCTCCCCTCTCCCATTTCTGGAGTCAGTGGAACACGATAGGTTGGGAAGAACTCTTAAACCCTTCTTTTGGCCCAGTGGTTTTCAAACTTGCCTTCTACTCAGAGTTTTCTCCACATGTGATCTTAGAGGACCCTGTGTGTAGAGTGAGGGAAGTGGGTTGAGCAGCTCCTTACACTCAGCCTGTGCCCTCCCTTCCACCCCCACCCCCGACCTTTCCTAAGTACAGGTCCACGTGGCCGTGCTGTGGAGCCCCAGGACTCTGGCCAAATGGTCTGAAAGTTCCTGATGCAGTCCATGGCTCTCACTGTAGTCTGGAAAATTAAAGCCCAGAGGAGTAAAAGGACTCACCCAAGATCCCACAGACTCTTCAAGTGACAAAGTCAAATCTTGAGCAGGGATTGGCTGCCTTTGTTTCCCCTTTGTTCCAGCATAGTGCTAAACATTGGTATTTCCCAAAGCTGAAAGGAAGGGAGAGAGGTGGGCATGAGTATCCAGTGGGAAAATTCTTAGCTTCTCCCACCAGCCCTGCTCTGCATTGTTAGGTTTTCTAAATAAATCTCACATCCCTGCCAGGTTGGCCCAGAGAACAAGGCTTGGCAGTGCCTCTGGACAGCCAGGGCCAGGGGATTGATGTTAAGGGCCTCGGGTGGTGACAGTGGTGAGCTTTCCTGGGTCCACTGGCTTTCCCCTCAGCAGAGGCCTCGGAGAGCAGCCCCCTGAAGGCTGGCCCGAGACATTCCTTTGTCCTGCTCTCCCACAGGCTTTCTTCGAGGCAGCCAGCATGATGAGACAGGTCTCTCACAAACACATCGTGTACCTCTACGGCGTCTGTGTCCGAGACGTGGAGAGTAAGTGTGTTGTCTTTTGAAGGGGAGGGTGACCTGGCTGGGGAGCCCGGTGCTGTGCAGACGTTGGGGGTGCCTCCCACCCTCATGTTACCCAGGCTTCTTGCCTTTCTTTTTGCAGTTAAGGAGACGGAGGGACTGAGCAGGTCATTTGCTTAAGTTAGTAGTGGAGATGGAACTAAAACCGATTGCTTTTCATTATTTCTGTAATGTTTTCTTGCCAATGATGGCAAGAACCCTACACTGTGCTAGTCTCGGGAGGCTGAGGTGACTGAGATGAGGTCATGGCCCTGAGAACCTCTGGGCAGGTGAGCGAGGTGAGTGCACCCCCTGAGCAGCAAGATGCTGGCCCCTAGAGTGGACTGGCCTTCATTTTAATTGCAGTCAGGCTTGGCTCTCTCTTGGTTGCCAAGCCGCTGAGCTGGTGGGCCCTTGGGCTGCTGTGGCACACTGAGATGTATGGGTGACCTTGGCCTCTGAGTTCCTGACATATAAGGTTGGAAGAAGAGCAGCTTTTTTTTTTTTTTTTTTTTTTTTTTAACCCCAAGTGACTTATTCCCTGTGAGATCTGATAATGTGGCTGTTCCGTGTACTTACACGGGAGTCCCGTTGAGAGGGAAGTTTAGCCATGTGAGCAGCCGGACTTCTGCGTCGTGGTGCATGGTAAGACAGCAGCAGTGGTGGCAGCTGTTCCCAGAGACCTTGTTCTCTGTGTCGGGCCCTCCACCAAGGCTTTCCATGCCTCGTCACATTTAGCCATCATTGATTATTACAGATGAGGGAATTGAGGCTCAGAGAAGTGTCACTTGCTCAACGCCACCCGTTTAGAAGAAGAGCTTGGGTTGAACTTGGCCTTTCCAGCTCTGAAGACCCTGCACCTCCCAAGGATATCTGTAGTCTGAGGCCGAGTACTGTCCACTGAGGAGGGCTGTTGTAAAGGGAGGAAGGAGAGGACTGTCCCACACAGAGCAGGTTCCAGACATGGCTCTTTTTGTGCCTATAGATATCATGGTGGAAGAGTTTGTGGAAGGGGGGCCTCTGGATCTCTTCATGCACCGGAAAAGTGATGTCCTTACCACACCATGGAAATTCAAAGTGGCCAAACAGCTCGCCAGTGCCCTGAGTTACTTGGTAAGAATGTTCTAATGTCTGTATTGGTCCCGCCAGAAACCAAAGTGTCCTGGGAGGGGTGCTAGCCAAGCAGCTGGAGGGGCCTGTTCTTGGGTTTCATGGGGCCATTCCCTGTGCTCACATGAGTTCTGTTGAGAGGGAAATTTTAGCACGTTAGAGGACCGACCTGCATACTGCGGTGTATGTATGGAAAGGTGGACAGTGGTGCAGTGCTTGTTGAGTGAATGAGTGAACTGCCAGCATCGGTAGTAGCTGACGTGAGTTGAGTGCTCACCATGGGTCAGCTGTTCAGGTGTTTCACAGATTCACTTAATACTCAGGAAGCCCGACGAGATGTTCCCCACTATTAGCTTCATTCATTGATGAGGGAGCTGGAGCCGAGGGGCGCCTGTGATGTGCTTAAGTCACACAGGTGATTGGTGGCAGGGCCAGGCTGTCTGGGTGTGGCTGTAGCTGGGGGTAGGAAGAGGTGACCTGAGGTACCAGGGTTGGAAATGGAGTGCGGGAAGGAGCAGCTTGGCTAAACTTGCCCTTTTTATTCTGCAGGAGGATAAAGACCTGGTTCATGGAAATGTGTGCACTAAAAACCTCCTCCTGGCCCGTGAGGGCATCGACAGTGAGTTTGGCCCATTCATCAAGCTCAGTGACCCTGGCATCCCCATCACGGTGCTGTCTAGACAAGGTGTGTCTCCCCTCTCCTCCCCCTAGCTCCATCAGGGGCAAGCCAGCAGAGAGAGGGGCTGGGCTGGGGGTTGGTCTCCTTTTAGAGAGTACAGTCAGCAAACAGGTGTGTGGTACTCCTGCTCTATGCCTGGAGGTCCCTGGGGAGGGTGTGCTATGGAGCTGACAGGAGGGGTGGTCACTGTATAGAAGCAGCAGCTGAAACAGACCGTTCACCCAAGACCTGTCTGGTCCTGGCAGTGAAGGAGCTATGTTCAAGGTGCTGAGGTAGCACAGAGGGGGACCATGGGGCCTGAGGGGTGATCAGAGAAATGTCAGGCGGAGAGGTAGGCCTCCTGGGTCTTCCCATGTTCCTTCCGAAATCCACTATAGTTAGTGAGCAGTTACGGCAGCACCTGATCCCCTTTGCTGGAGTGACTGCTGTGGTCTTGAATGCTGTTTAAGTTGGGTATGGTGGGTTGTAGGCTCCAGAGGAAAAGACAGACCTGGGAGCTGAGACATTGACACCAGTGCCAGAAAGGCCAAGCCTGCCTCTTAGCCTTGTAGCCTTGCACTGTGTCCAGAACCACCACTGTCTTCAGCACGAGTTCTGACCAACTCAGCATTTTGAGTTTTGAGCATAATATAATCAAAGAAGTTGGAATTGAACCAGGATGAAAAGCCCTTCAGATGAGATCCTAATGATGTACTCCTTGGAAGGAGAATGGGAAGCTTCCTTCAGTGCCTGTTTGATGTTGATTATCACTTCATCACCCAAAGTCGTGAGGCTGATACACCCTAAATCTGTCATGGGTGCTATCCTCAGCAGTGGTCTGAGACACTGACAGATGTCTCTGGAACAAGCAGAGAAGCCCAGGGACTTCAATGGAGATGCTAATAAAATGCTATTGGGGTTTGGAGGAGAGAGACATCATCTAGCTTGGGGGCAGAGTGATTGGGGGAGGCAGTGGGATTTCATCTGGGCTGGCAGGTCAGTGGCTACAGCAGATGACTGCAGGAACACCCTCCTAGGATGCCACCCGTATGTGCCTGTGCCAGGAAGGACAGGTATGAGGAGAAGGTCAGGCGGGCCCAGTCTTGAAGGTTCGCCCCAGGATCCTCCCTCTGTGGAGGCCAACTGGCTTGCTGAGGGCTGCTTCCAGTGGACATGGCTAGGGCTCTGCTGAGGTGGCTGGCTCTGGCCTTGCTGAGAAACTGGAAACAGCAGCTGCAGAACCAGCCAGGAGAAAGGGATCTGCAAGAGCTCAGTCTTGTCTTTCCTTGTTCTTCCTCAAATGAAAGAAAACCAACGTAAAACCAAGACCGCATTGCAGCATGATGGTGCAGGGTACGTGTGGGTGGCTGGGCCTGCCTCTGCGTGTGTCGCCCTGTTCTCCTCCCCTGCCTTCTCTTAAGCCCTTGTCCACCTGCCCTGGGTGATGGCCCCCGCTCTGGGATGTTTTGCTGATCCAGAGGCCGGGGCTTCAGAAGCCTGGCTCTACATGACCCTCCTGGGGAGCTTGGAGGCAGGGACCCATCTCTGGCCCTGGCCCAGACTCATGTATCAGAAGCGCTTGGCAAGGCTTGGAGGGCTGCACACCTACAGAGCTACAGAGCCCCCCACCAATGGGGCTCATGTGGCCATGGGCCAGGTTCGGGCACAGTGTTTGAAGTAGTTCCTTCATTGGCTCACTGTTCTTGCTGCAGTTAGAGTAATTGAATTCCTGGGAGATCCCAGAAACTGTTCTGTCAATGTGTCTGTTGTCTTCCAGAGTGCATTGAACGAATCCCATGGATTGCTCCCGAGTGTGTGGAGGACTCCAAGAATCTGAGTGTGGCTGCTGACAAGTGGAGCTTTGGAACCACGCTCTGGGAAATCTGCTACAATGGCGAGATCCCCTTGAAAGACAAGACTCTGATTGAGGTGAGCAGGTTGTTTCCCAGACATGAGGCAGGTGAGGGCTCTCAGGCACCTATGGGCTTCCCGGGAGTTGTCAGAAGCCTGGCACTGTGAGAAGAGACGGGCATGGGTTTGAATCTCTTCACAGGCTTACTGGCTGTGTGACCTCACAAATGTAACAACTTCCGTGAGCCTCAGTTTCATCATCTGTATAATAAGGATAAACAATAACTACTTTGTAGGGCTGTTGTGAAAATTATATAATGCATATAGGGTGACAGGCACACAATACAAGCTCAATAGATATTATAGTATTATTTGAGATTTTAAGTGGCTGTCAGCAAAATTAACACACAAATATGTATTGAAATCTTACTGTGTCAGGCATCAAGCTAGGGAAAAGCTGGTGTTTCACAGTAAAACAGACACAGGCCTTGCCTTTCCTTGAGGGCCTTAGGGTATGGTAGGGAGTTAGGCTAAAATAAGTGGTAAGAATCCCAGAAAGAATATCTAAAAGTGTCACCCCAAGAGCTCTGCAAATTAGGTAGGGCAGTGTCATTACCCTCATTTGACAGATAAGGTAACTGAGACTCAGGTAGCCCCACTCACCTAGGTTCCTCAGCTAGAATGCAGAATAGGTGAGCTGTGGCCCTCTCCTCCATATCTGCCTGTGGGAAAAGTGAAGACTCTTAACTCCAAAGGGATAAAGTAGTAAAAATCACAATGAAAGACCACTCTCCCTTCATCTCAGTCACTGTCATTGGAATGTGCTCCGTGTATTTAGAAGGGCAGGCATCACTTCCAGCTGTGAGAGCCTGGTTTCAGTGCTGTGCGGGGAGCCCGGGTAGTTTGGTGTGCCTGGCCTTGAGTGTCTGGAGTGGGGAAAGGGAAAGGAGTAACAGTGATCAGGTGGGAAAGGCCATTTGGGTTCAGATCTTTAAACGCCCTGATTCCAGGCTGCGGAGCCTGCAGTTTACTGAGGGTGGCATGGGATAAGGAAGGATTTGGGTGGAGGAGGGAGAGGCTTGGAGATTGGCTTTGGGATGTTCTTCTGGGTGCAGTAGCTGGGATGGACAGATTAAGGAGAGACCCAGAGGGAGACAGGGCCCTGAGGCACATCCAGAAATGGCAGTGGGAGTCCAGAGTGCAGGGTGGGAGATACTGAAGAGGTAGAAGCTTTACAACTTGCCAGTTAAAGATGGTGCAGGACTTGGGAAAGGATCTCAACCCCACAGGGAAGCCATCAGATCTACAGATCTACTATTTGGAATTTTCAGCGTAGGCGTTTGGGAAACTCATTTTTATTTTTATCTTCCTTGGAAATGAAACATGCTCAGTAGATGCTATTTGTCATCAGTCAGTATTTGTTGAGCACGTGCTACGTTCCTGTCCCTGAACAGCATACAGGGCGGTGTAAGGAATGACCACCTGTGTCTTTAATAAAATAGGGGATAGGGGTCTCTTTCCACCTAAGTCCCCTTGGGTTAGATGGCCTTTCTGCAGGCTGCAGTGATGCAGGGACAAGGGCAGCTCTCAGCTTCTTAATTCCAGTTCTCCCTGCTCCCCGTCCTCTGGGGCCTGCCCACCCCACCCCACCCCACCCCAAGGCCCATGGGAACCAGAGAGGAACTTAGTACCCTTGGAGTCCAGCTACAGAGTAGAAACTGGAATGCAGTGGTTTCATCTTCCAAAAGTAGCATAAGTTCTTTGTTTCTAAATTTTAAAGTAATAAACAGTTGAAGAAAATTTAAAAATGAAACTATTAAAATAGCAATCACTGCATTCTTGTCATCCCTGACCATTGTTAACACTTTGGCATTTTGTCTTCCAGCCTGTTTGTATCTTTCTTTTTTAAACAAAATTGGGACCATGCTAGATAGAGTTATAATTCTGAGTTTTCAAATTTAATATTGCCAGTGCTTTCTCCTGTGAGATTAAATCATAATTTTTCAAATTTAATGTAAGAGTTAATTGTTTTGTTTAATTTATTTGACCAATTTTATATTTGGCATTAGAGTTTTCAAATTTCCAGTGTTCTAATTCTGCAGGGAACATTCTTATACATAAATATTTGTTCATATCTGATTTATTTGAGTCATTCAGTCATTGAAATTAATACATCAGAGGGTTTGAAGAATCTGAAGATTTTTGTATATGTTGCCCAACTGTATTCCAGAAAGGTTGCATGCCTTTACTGGAATGAAGCTTTTTGGGATTGGGCTATACTCCTCAGTCTCCTTGAATTTGGATGATTTAGTATTAGGACTCTGATTTCCCCACGCAAGAATAAGGCAACAGAAACACGTTTATGAAACCTGCCTGTAAATGGAGATGCTGAGAATTGAATGAGGAATTGGCAGTTCCTTCTGACCTGGGGCTGAGAAGTTTGTAAGTAGTTCCTTTGGTTTCTTCCATGTGCCCCTCTCGTTTACAGAAAGAGAGATTCTATGAAAGCCGGTGCAGGCCGGTGACACCGTCGTGTAAGGAGCTGGCTGACCTCATGACCCGCTGCATGAACTACGACCCCAATCAGAGGCCCTTCTTTCGAGCCATCATGAGAGACATTAATAAGCTTGAAGAGCAGAGTAAGACCTGCCATGTGTTGTTTTAACCCAGCTCAGGGAGAAATAAGAGCCAGGCAATCCCTGGCAGTCGCCTGCCTTTCACTCTATTTTCTTTTCTCTTCTGTTAGATCCAGATATTGTTTCAGAAAAAAAGCCAGCAACTGAAGTGGACCCCACACATTTTGAAAAGCGCTTCCTAAAGAGGATCCGTGACTTGGGAGAGGTAAGTTACACCCATGCTTCTTGCTGCTGACAGCAGAGCCCCCCGCCCTCCACAGTGCCTCTCTCTGCACGTATGGCTGCTCTCCATTCTTTCTCATTTTGGGGCCAGGTCCATGAGAGAAAGCACCTTACTGCATTTGGGGGCCACTTTCATCACAAGGGATTGTGTTTTTCTCCAAGTGACACACCGGCAGTGACGGGATGCATGTCTTTGCCGGCACGCGCGACTGCATATGCACACAGGACTCTGGGAAGCTCCCTTGAGAGACTTGATTTTTCTCTACAGGACAGAAGAGAATGGAAAGAGAGAGAGGTGGGGGAGTAGGTATAGATATGGTGGAATAGGAAAATCCCTGCCTCTGGCTTTCCTGGGCATATACATCCTGTGAGCTCTTTTTTCTTTCCCCTCTGCAAGAGACAGGGTGTGTCCCAGGCTGTCACTGTGTGTCCCAGGCCGGAGTGCAGTGGTGTGATCATAGCTCACTGTAGCCTCAACTTCCCAAGCTCAAGCAGTCTTCCTTCCTCAGCCTCCTGAGGAGCTGGGACTACAGGTGCACTCCCCTATGCTGGCTAATATTTTTTTTTGTAGAAATGGGGTCTCACTATGTTGCTCACATTGCTTTCAAACTTCTGGCCTCAAGCAAGGAGGCCTCTTAAAGTGCTGGAATTACAGGCATAAGCCACCACACCCAGCTCTATAAGGCTCTTTAAATGAGGGATAAGTAATTATGCACAGATAAGATTAATAAGATTAATGCACAGAATCCCAAAATAAAATAGCAGCTTTTCTTTGGACCTTAAATGGGAGTTTCCAAATAGTTAATGTTGACTAGAGAAGCTACTGAGATTTGTGTCTTTATACAGATTTCTGTAGTCTGGTTAATGAAATAAGACTGGATACATCTCCAGGATCTGCTGTGTGCCAACCTCTGTGCCAGGCTTTGTCACAAGCATGGCATCTTTAGTTCCTCACACTGTCCCCAAGTAGGCCAGTTTCTGTATACAGTGAGTGCATCAGGAGCCAGCTCAGATTTGGGGACTTGGCCACCACTGTCACTGTCAGGTGGCTTGACTGGGACCTGATCTCATGTCTTCTGAAGACTCCTTCATGCACTTGCTCTTTTCAGCCACACTGTGGGGCCTTTCCTGTAACATGAGCCCAGGGCTTTCAGAGAATAGCACAGTTGTCCTACAGGCCCAGAAATAACCTTCGTTTCCTGTGGGTTACATGTTCATGGAAACTGGGATTGATGAGTTGGTTCATTGTCACCAGCTACTTCCTTGTCTCAGCTCAGTAACTGAGGGGACAGTTTGTGAGGCCAAGAGAGCAAGGGGGCTGTAGTGAGCAGGTACAGTCCAGGTGAGAGGCTTCTACCTGCAAGGGCAGACAGCGAGAACCCCTGGCCCTCAGGGGAACGGCTGTGAGGAGCAAGACTTCTCTGAGTGTGTTCTGTGGCCTAGGCTGGGGCTTCTCTGATAACAGCACATGCATCTTTCCCTCCAGGGCCACTTTGGGAAGGTTGAGCTCTGCAGGTATGACCCCGAAGGGGATAATACAGGGGAGCAGGTGGCTGTCAAATCTCTGAAGCCTGAGAGTGGAGGTAACCACATAGCTGATCTGAAAAAGGAAATTGAAATCTTAAGGAACCTCTATCATGAGAACATTGTGAAGTACAAAGGAATCTGCACGGAAGACGGTATGTTGTGCAAGGTGGGGTCTGGTTTAAGAAGTTAATGACTGTCTATGGTCACAAAGGCCAGTACAGAACAGGCAGCCGGTGGCCACCTCTGGGCCATCTGACATGCCAGCTGGTGGTTCCCGTACACTCTCAAGGCTTCCAAGTCATATGTGTTGTCAAATCCCTTAGTAGCTGCAGGGCTCTTGAGGAGGCCAGCCAGGGGCTGTTTGCAGCACTGTCTTAAGCTGCACTTAAGCTTTTTGAAACTGATACCAACCCCTGCCTCCACCTGCTTCCCTGTTCTGATCCAGTACTAGCCAGGGTGTTTCATTTTCTAGTTGTCTAAGTGAAGGTGGCAAGTAATATTTATTAATAATTTTTTTTTTTTTTTTTTTGAGACGGAGTTTCGCTCTTGTTACCCAGGCTGGAGTGCAATGGCGCGATCTCGGCTCACCGCAACCTCCGCCTCCTGGGTTCAGGCAATTCTCCTGCCTCAGCCTCCTGAGTAGCTGGGATTATAGGCACGCGCCACCATGCCCAGCTAATTTTTTGTATTTTTAGTAGAGATGGGGTTTCACCATGTTGACCAGGTTGGTCTCGATCTCTCGACCTTGTGATCCACCCGCCTCGGCCTCCCAAAGTGCTGGGATTACAGGCTTGAGCCACTGCGCCCGGCCGGTAATAATTTTATCTTATTTGCAAGCCAGCATCTACACATGGTAGTGAAATTGGCAGTAAACTGATGGTAATTTTTGAAAATGATCATTTGCCTGTGGGTTACAAAGCACTGTTATCTCATGAGTGCCTATGCCTGTGAGGTAGGTACACTAGTGTAGTCTCCGTTCACTGCTGAGGATGCTGAAGCCTAAGAGGTCAGGTAGGTTACCTGTGATGAAGGGGTGAAGCTAGTAGCGCGTCAGGGCCTCTGTCTCAGATCCTGTGTCCTTTCCTCTCCCACTGCTCCCTCGTTTGGCAGCCTCAGACTGATGGGTGTTTTTTTTGTAAACAGGTGGAAATGGTATTAAGCTCATCATGGAATTTCTGCCTTCGGGAAGCCTTAAGGAATATCTTCCAAAGAATAAGAACAAAATTAACCTCAAACAGCAGCTAAAATATGCCGTTCAGATTTGTAAGGTAAAAAAATAAATAAAGACAGCATGTTACAGGTTGAGACATCAGGCACTCTGTCCTGGGTAATTGGTTTGTAATTTGACTCCGAGTGGGAAATTTTATAATAATTATACTAGTTTGTTTTTCTCTGCATTATTGGGATGAAAAGTTAGCCTCTACTAAGAAAGTAAATGGATTTAAGTATGGTTGTTTTAGTGTGTATTTTTTGAATCAATTTGTTCTTAGTATTCTTGCATGAAAGTCAGAACCAAAAAAATTGTCAGGGATATATGAATGAGATGACGTTTGTTTTTTCCGATGCAGTGATAGATAGTACAATTAAAAGTGACTTTAGCAGTGTGTTTGACCTTTACTTCTCTCCCCCAGGGGATGGACTATTTGGGTTCTCGGCAATATGTTCACCGGGACTTAGCAGCAAGAAATGTCCTTGTTGAGAGTGAACACCAAGTGAAAATTGGAGACTTTGGTTTAACCAAAGCAATTGAAACCGATAAGGAGTATTACACCGTCAAGGATGACCGGGACAGCCCTGTGTTTTGGTAACTGAGTCAAACTGCTAGGTTTTATCAGTGCTTCATAGAGCTTACAGTGTTTTGGTAGGCCGTTTCTGGCTATATTAATGTCTGTCTCTCATTCCTCTGGACTGAGTCAAGGTTAGAGAAGGTTTAGAACATTTGGAATTGATTGATATTTACCTTTAAGAAACACATCTTTCAGACTGTTTCATTGAAAGCAGCCTATATAAATGCCTGAGCTTCATATCACGCTGTCTTCCAAGGAATGAGAGAAATCTAACCACCAGCTTGGCATTCCCAGCTTCCCAGGAGGGGGCATTCATCTGACATAGTTCTTAAAACTGTGGTCAGGTGGAGTGGATGTGGTTCCTTTCTTAAACACATCCCTGCAGGACAGAGTGGGCATTGCAGATTCAGGGGACTCCTGGACAGAGCAGAGCAAAACCTATGGGAGACCTGTCGCTCATGAATCACCAGAGTCCCCCAGGTTAGAGGGCCACACACTGGCTATGACCGTGTCTCAGCAGGGAACAGTCCAGGGGAGAGGCTGCTTATGTCTTTACTCTACCCTGCCACATAACCAGTTCACACTTCCTGAGGTATAGCCAACATGGACACAGACATAAACCTCCCCCACTTAATGGAGCCTAAACTTACTCATTCGTTTTAAGAAAATGCATCAGGGTCCTGCTTTGTGCCCGGTACTGGAGATATGGTGAACAAGCAGGCCGAGTTTGGGGTTTGACAGGTTAGGCAGCCAGTGGCATGGAGCAGTAAACATACAGAAGGGTTCGGGTTTGGTTTTTTTGGAAGGTCATATTTAGATGTAACCTGAAAAATTCGTGCGGGTTTAGACAGATGGTTGCAAGATAGCATGCGTGACTAAGAACGAGACAAGCAGATTTCCCAGAAACTGAAACTTGGCGAGGTTCGATCATGGAATACAAGGTTCCCAGGAGGAAGCTGAGTCATGGAGCTGGGACTTCATCTCAAGAGCAATGGGATGCTGTGGGAGGGTTTAAGGATGGAGACTTCGTTGTTGTTTTTATTATGCTTTAAGTTCTGGGGTACATGTGCAGAAATTGCAGGGTTGTTGCATAGGTACACACATGCCATGGTGGTTTGCTGCCTCCATCTCCTGTCACCTACATCAGGCATTTCTCCCAATGTTATCCCTCCCCAACCTCCCCACCTCCCACTATCCCTCCCCTAAAAAGATGGAATGGAATATTGGAGCCAGGGAATCTGATTTGGTTGCCTCCACAGCCTAGGCCAGAGCCAGTGACAGCATGAACTAGGACAATGACTGGGATAGTGACAGTAGGATTTGAGAGAGGTGAGTAGGTTCAAGGAGTGTTTAAGGAGATTGGGTGCAGTGGAGTGCCTTCATTTTTGGCTTGGGCAAGTGGGTGTCATTCAGCAAAACAGGTAGTGCTAGAAGAGGATTGGGCAGTGACGCCACATCGGGCAATGAGGCCACTGCTGTCTCATTTTGAGCTTGCAGGCAAATCAGACCTGGGTCTTATCACATGGGCGCCTCCTCTTGTACCCTGAGAACGTGCTCAGTGAAATGAAGAGCACAGAGTTGTGTTATTTTAGGGCAGATGTGTGCTACCAAGAGCCTGTAAAGGATACTGTTCTATAGGTCAGATGTGCACCATAGCAGCATATACATGATACATGTAAAACATGTAATACAAACTTAGATTAAATTCAAGAAAAACCAAAGAGGTGATTTTTCAATTACCCTATAATGTCAGTAGGAATGTGCCTCCCAGGAAATGAAGTTTTGTGTTCTGCTTCCTTTCAAGGTATGCTCCAGAATGTTTAATGCAGTCTAAATTTTATATTGCCTCTGATGTCTGGTCTTTTGGAGTCACTCTGCATGAGCTGCTGACTTACTGTGATTCAGATTCTAGTCCCATGGCCGTAAGTCCTACTTTTCTCTTCATTTGAATCCAGGACCCATTTAAAATGTGTCCATCCCTCTGCTTGTAACTTTTGTTTTTAAATGAAATCCAATCAATGTATTATAATGGAAAGTGTCACTTTCCCACTTAAGTTGGGTTTGCTACTTGACAGTTATTTGTGGCTAACTCTCAAGTGTTGCTTTCACAAGGAGCCCAGAGTTTTATAGGATGACCTCGACTCTTAAGTGGGGTAGCATTGGGTAGGGACCAGCCTTGTCTGTGCCCCTTCATTCCTAAATCGGATCATTTTCTTGGAAACAGACTCATTGACCACAGCATAAGGAGTGGCTGGTAGAGTCTCAGACATTGGTTAGAGACAGATCATTGAGAGCTAATAAGGATTTTGGATTTTATTTAAAGTTACTAAGGAGAAAAGCCTTTTTATTGCTACTTAAGTTTCCAGTTGATTATAGAAATTTCACCTTAATCTATTTGACATTTATGTAAATATGTGCAAAGTTAAACATTTGGTTTGGTTTTATTTTATATAGTTGTTCCTGAAAATGATAGGCCCAACCCATGGCCAGATGACAGTCACAAGACTTGTGAATACATTAAAAGAAGGAAAACGCTTGCCGTGTCCACCTAACTGTCCAGATGAGGTATCTATGGGCCATGTGACAGTAATAACACTCCATTTCTACTATGTTTTCACAGCTTGAGTTATCCAGCAGTGGGTAGAGGGCACAGTGAGGAAATGATACAGTCAAGTCCTGTGAAATAGTTTTTTGAAGCTGAATTTCACATAAGATATTTGAGAAATCACCTTTGGGGCTAGATGATAGCCACCAGTTGGTTCAGAGCAAGGATTTCCTCCGAAAGCCAGCCCCTCTTTATCCACTTGCTTGCTCCAAAGGGGTAGATTTTGGTGTAGCCTTAGTGTGACAGATATACATGAGTGCATTTTTTGTGTGTGTAAGTTTATCCCACTTACTAGTAGCATTTATAGTATGTATTCAGTTTTCTAAGTGAATTGAACCTTTAATACTAAACTCTAGAGACTGTAAGTAAGACACACTGAACAGTGTGAGTCAGAGTGTGAGGCAGCCAGTCTGGAAAGTTCAAGTCTGAACGCAGCTTCTCCCTCTAACTGGTTTATAGGAATAACCTGGATTTTATTGAAGTCAGTCAACACTTGAGCTTCTCAAACGTTAGAAAATACTATTTATGAACTAGAGTTGTATCCCATTTTTTGTGTTTTAAACTATCCAAATACTCGCTTGTTTTTCTAGACTTTAAGGAAAAGTCACTTACATTTCCAAAATTATTTTCTTACTCTCGGTTTCTATATATTTTTTAAAGTTCCCAATCTAACATTTTTACTGTTCTTTTTACAGGTTTATCACCTTATGAGGAAATGCTGGGAATTCCAGCCATCAAATCGGACAAGCTTCCAGAGCCTTATTGAAGGATTTGAAGCACTTTTAAAATAAGAAGCATGAATAACATTTAAATCCACAGATTATCAAGTCCTCCTCCCCCAACAAATACCCAAGCCATTTTTTAAAACTTTGTAATGAAGAAGGAGGTTTGTGTTCTGTCCAAAAGTCACTTAACTCATATTTGAGTACCTATACACGTGTAAGGCACACTGTGGTGCTTACTGCGTGTAAGGACTTCCTCTTTAAATTTGGTACCAGTAACTTAGTGACACATAATGACAACCAAAATATTTGAAAGCACTTAAGCACTCCTCCTTGTGGAAAGAATATACCACCATTTCGTCTGGCTAGTTCACCATCACAACTGTATACCAAAAATGGGATTTTTGAAAGCAAGTGGAGACAGATGACCAAAATAATGTCTCAAGATGGTTGCTTTTCCCTGCTGCCAGCTGATCTGAAATGTTTTTCTGGCACATTAATTAATTATAAATATTGATGGACTTAGCCCTCAGATTTCAATATCTATACAGTTCTAGACATGCATTCTTAAAATATTAGATACCAGGTAGTATATATTGTTTCTGTACAAAAATGATTGATATTGTATTCTCTCACCAGTAGGACTTAAACTTTGAGTTGTTTCTCCAGTGGCTTAGCTCCTGTTCCCTTGGGTGACAACTAGTACCCATTTTTGAGAGAACTTGTTCTACACGGGGACAGCTGTGGAATAGATAATTTGCTGCATGTTAATTCGAGAAATAAGCCTGTGCCAATGCTTTCCTAAGCAGTATACCTTTAATCAGAACTCATTCCCAGAGTCTGGATGCTATTACACATGCTTTTAAGAAACGTCAATGTATATCCTTTTGTAACTACCACTTTGGGGCAAGCTATTACAGCATTGGTTTTGAATGCTGTATGCAACCAGTCAGAATACCACATACGCTGCACTGTTCTGAGAGTGTTTCCATACTTAACCACCTTCCTACAAGGGTTGATCCCTGTTTTTACCATCATCACCCTATGGTGCAACACTTGAAAGAAAAGACCCGGACTAGAGGCTATGGACTTCAAGATCCACTAAAAAGAGTTTTCAGTTTGCTTGGAGGTAGTTGGGTAATCAAAAATGTTTAGTCACTGATTCACTGTGACTTAAAGATCAATGTTCATTGTAACATAAAGACTCATTAAGATCTTTATGACCAAGAGCCTGAAAATCTTTTTGTTACGCTGTCTAATACTTGTTTGATGTTACTTTTCACCTGTTGAGCCCAAAAAAATTCAGGATTGATTCAATGGCAACAATAAACTTGCCAGTTAAATTTGTTCAGTAACCTACATCACCAAGGTGTCTCTCTGTGTCAAACCTGTGGCCACTCTATATGCACTTTGTTTACTCTTTATACAAATAAATATACTAAAGACTTTACATGCATGTGCCTTTTAATACTAAGATTTCGTTTTCAAACAATTTGCTTACATAGAAAAATAACAAGCAATATAGAGTTTGGGGGAGGAGGGGGTGGGTTATGGTCCTTATTACTATTACCACTTTGAGTTCTCTGCACTGTTGTACCCAGTGATAACAGGGCGCAGGCCAGTATGGGTGGCATATCCACTGTTCCATAATCCACACACCTTTGTTTTAATTCTTTCAGCCTCTTCCTTTCACTTTGCAGTTCTGATGCAAACTTCACCATCTTTCCTTTCTTCTGTTTGCACTATAGTGGAGGTGACTACACACTGAAGAGGCTGAGTGCAACAAGAAAATGGGAAGAAGTGGAGGGCATGAAAAACTCATTAGTCATCTGCTATATAACCGAATGATGCCTAATTTTTATCAGTTATTTATAGGTAGTATATACTTAGAAATTACCTTAAACTTTGTCATTTTCCAACAGAAGCCAGTAGATGCAATAAATTAGACCAAGTGAAATTCTTTACAACGCATTCAACATATGTACCAATTCTAGACTTCATAATTAAAACAGGATATCCACATCATAGTTAAAAGCATGTTCCCAAAGTGACAAGATATTTATCTGATTTCAAAAATTCCTAGGATCGAGATCCCACTCATAACAATGAACAAACTTAGAAATTTCTAGATGGCAAAAGGTTTCTCATGCATTTAATATCAAGGTCTTCAAGAAATGGTGAAGTCAAAAGTCATATTCCATAAAGATGAAACTTCTTTCACAAGTAAATTGGGTTAAATGATTTTCTGCCCTAGCACACTATCAAAGAGTGAGAGAGAAAGCAGAGTGAGGTATAGCTTATTAGCTCAAATGGTTATAAATACTGTGACTTCTTAAAACTCCATCAGAAAGTGCAATACAGACTCCTTTACTATACCGTGGAAATAGGGCATTTAGTGATCAAAATTGGCCCCATTCTAGTCATTAGATCATCACTAGTCTATGCTATGAAATGAGGCACAGAAACCCATGTTCCTTTCCACTTACAAGTCTGTCTCAAAAGGCTAAAGGTCTGTCTTTAGGTGAATTAAAAGGAATAGTTGCTATTAGAATTAGTGCTATTAGATCAGGGAACAAGAAACTTTCTCTAAATGGCCAGTCAAAACTCAGGCCATATGGTCTTTGCAGGCCATATGGTCTCTGTTGAAGTTAATCAGTGCTGCCACTGTAGCCTGAGTGCCACAGGCAACACATAAATGAATGAAGATAGCAATGTCCCAATAAAATTGTATTTATGGACACTGAAATCTGAATTTCATATAAATTTCATGTCATAAATTTTTTTCCCTCCATTTAAAAATGTAAACAGTCTTAGCTGCAGGCAACACAAAAGCGGGTGGTAGACCAAATGTGGCCCCAGGGTGTAGTTTACCAACCCCTTTATTAGATCACCAAAGCTATACTTAAAATACCTTGCATTTTTCACAGAAGGTAGAGATGGTAAACAAACAACATCTTAAAGCATCTGTAGTAGTAGATACCTTGGACATCACTGTCACTCTCTTACCGGGTTTAATTTTGCATGGCTGGCATGGGCGTAACTGAGTGTGCATGTAGCACGTCTTGACGATATTACCATCAGCACATTTGGTACTTGCACCCTTGTAGTTCTAGGAAAAGTCCTAAAAATCTATAAATGCAATTACTTCTAGGGAAGGTAAATTGAAATGCACATTGGCTTATAAGAAACTCATTCTTCTAAGGCTCAGGAAACAGCACTGTTTCCCATTTATTGCTTCAAACTTTTATGTATGGTGTCAAAATTATTCCCAGTCCTAAAACAAGGAATATTTGGAACATTGTTAGTTTCTCCAATGGATTATAAGTTAGCACACTGATTAAGATGCATCTGACTCTAGTGGAAAATGTACTCAATTGATGTCTCTTCTTATTGCTATTTTTTATTTGGCATTTCTGCCTGCTGCAGAACACAGTTCCTTCTGGGAAATTATAAACCCGTATTTAAAGGATATGGCTAGTCTGAATGAAGTTAAGGCAGCGATGAACAGCAGAGATGCTGCAGAGAACCTTAGGGGGTTATAAGGAAAGAGCTTAATTCAGTACACTCGTTTCTTTTTTAAGTAAGTTTCCATGTAATACGCTCCTGTGCCCTGAGAATGCTGGTCAACACATTCCACTGAACCACCTTCTGGGGCAGAGATGAGATGTGATGAGCTTCGCTTTTCATTTCTTAAAGATGACACCTATGGAAAAATAAAATTGCAGCTAGTTTTAAAATCTAAAGTTGGCTTATTCATTAAAAATACTTACAAGCATTCTACTTTTGAGTTGGTAAATACAGGATAAATGCCAAAACTATCAAAAAAAAATACACAAACCCTTTTGTTAAATAAGATTTAAAAATTTCTGTATCAGTATCACCTTTGGAATTTGTGCAAGACACAAACCAGTCTCAGCGCCCTCACTCCCAACCCCAACATTTTGGGAAAAGAAAAAATTAGAGCACCGCACATAGTTGCTTTTGCTGATCACAGCTAGTTAAACCCACGGAATCAGAATATCAACACCAAATGTCAGTATTCCTCTGAAGGAGTGGCTAAGAAATCAAGCTGCATATTGAATTACATGTTAAGTCTGCCTGCTGACAAGAGGAGTGGTGAGAGGATAAATCAATAGGTGTAGAAACTGACAAGTGACATCAAGGAAAACAACATGATACATTCTAGAGGGCAATGGGAACTCAGAACTTCAGTCTCCATAGCAATCGCTTGGTGAGCATATTAAAATACAGATTTTCAGGCACCATCCCAGAGATTCTGACCTGAAAGTGGGCCAGATGTCCTCACAAGTGGTCACAGTGATCAGCACAGTAAATCAGATGGCATAGCACAGCTCGGCCTAATGTCTCAGTTTTAACTTTTACGAAAATAAGTGCAACAAGCTTATCAAAGCAGAATTATGTGACTTGATAGGCAAGAACTTAGAAATGACTGATGAGTAAAGCTTCCAGCAACACACAGGAACCTTCTCACGTTGCAATTAAAACTGCAATTGTTTTTGAACCAACAACGGTCACAATTTTAAAAAATGGAGCTAGCCTCAGAGGCAAGAGATGACATGTCCCTCTCAATTCCTTGCTAAAGTAGTTCTCAGTGGTCCATGTTAGGAGGAGGGATGGGGATGATGAGACTGAAGAAATGCCATGTCCTCTGGTACTTCATTTCAATGTGGCTTACTGTGTGGACAGGCCAATACAAGGCGTCTTCACACAAGCCCGACGTAAAGGGATGTTTCACAGAGCAAAGCTGATAAGCAAAAAATCTGGCTTTAACTTCTGCCTCAACATTTTTTTTCTTGGTAGTAAAGTATGTCTGGAGTTTGTACTGGAATATGTGGGAAGGGAAGCGGGTGAAAGGGTAGATGAAAGGAGACCAGCCGTAAGTTGATAGTTGTCGAAGCTGAGTTGATGGGGACGAAGGGTTCAGCCCACTCGACCAAACAGCTTGCTCACCTCTTAGGTGGAGCCTCTGCCCCAAAGCCCTTTCCTCCCAGCCTGCAGCCTCTTCGTTATTCTCTCCAGCTGCCTTCTTCATTAGAGCCCCTTTGCTGGTAGATGATCTTTCTGAATGTTGGACCTGAGCCACTAACACCGTCAGACGTTACTTCAGGTATAAAGAACTCTTTAGCAGCTTTCTTCCTCTTATAAGTCATCAGTCCATTCTACAAGTGGGATTTTCCGAAGACTCGGGGAGAGAAGCAAACGGCTCACTCTGGGATCTGGGATGCTCCTGCTCTCCTGACCCACCTTCCCCGACTCTTCCTGCCATGTAGTTATCTGTTCTTTTGGGTGTTGGCATGCAGAAAGCAACAGCCTGTTTCATTCTATACCATCTTTACTGTCAGAAGCAAGATAGGAAATTTACTACAGTCTTTTATTAAAGGGCTTCCCAATGGTGCTACACCATTCATAGTGAGAATCAACTAAGACCTGTGAGATCAGCAAAAAACTTCACTCAGCAGCACAGGAAAATATTAGAACAGGAAATGAAACTAGGTGTCACTCATCTGAAAATAAAGACAAAGCCTACAAACATTGAGTAAAATAAGACATTAAAAAAGAGACATTGTATAATTACACTCATGTGAGATATAAAAATTAGTCCCAGTTATAAAAACAAAGTCAAATGATGTTCTTCAGATTATTAATTATCAGAGTTTACTTTTATAAAATGAAAATCTAGAGATCTGTTGCAAAATAATGTAAAAAGAGCAAAACCTCTGCTGGCACACTGACTAGGCTGCCTCCTCACTAGGCAGGCAGCCCTGAAAAAAGGCAGCAGCATGACAGAAACTTACAAATAAAGCCCTACCTTCCAGGGACATAGTACTTGGAAAAAAAAAAAAAGTGGTTATGAGTACTGCTGCAGCAGACTTAAACGTACCTGCCCAGTAGCTCTGAATGGAACAACGGAGCTCACAGCTCAGCACTTGAGCTCCTATAAAGGACAGACTGTCTCCTCAAGCAGCTCCCTGACCCCTGTATATCCGAAGAGTCACCTCATAAAGGAGAGCTCAGACTGACATCTGGCGGGTATCCTTCTGGGACAAAGATAGCAGAAGAAGAAACTGGCAGCAACCCTTACTGTGCTGCAACTGCTGCAGGTGATCACCAGGCAAGCAGGGCCTGGAGTGGACCTCAGCAGTCCTACAGCAGAGGGGCCTGTTAGAAGGAAAACTAAGAAACAGAAATAACATCATCATCAACAAACTGGACGTCCACTCAGAGACCCCATCTGAAAGTCACCAACTGGAAAGACCACAGGTAAATAAATCCACAAAGATCGGAAGAAACCAGCACAAAAGGATGAAAACACCCAAAACCAGAATCTCTCTCCTCCTCCAGGGGATCATAACTCCTCACCAGCAAGGGAACAAGGCTGGATGGAGAATGAGTGTAATGAATTGACAGAAACAGGCTTCAGAAGGTGGA